GGTTCCTTACGCCGCCTTCCTCCTCGACCTCTGGCTCACCCTAGTCTTCTCCCAGATCGCCTTCTTCAACTCCTCCCTTCTCTCCACCTTCACCTCCTTCCTTCTCGCCGCCTTCCTCTGCGCCGAGACCAATTTCCTCATCGGCGTCTGGGTCTCTCTCCCGTTCAAATAATTAATTGTTAAATAAATTTTAATTATTTTTAACTAATTTTAATTGTTAAATTAAGTTTAATAATTTATTAATAATTAATTAATTTTTTATTCCAACTAGCCAAGGAGTGGGCTCCGCTCTTGCCACATCATTATTTAACAATCAAATTAACAGAAAATTTAACGGAGATTTGATATTACAGTGAATTTATAAATTAAGGTATGAAATTGTAATGTTTTAAGCATGAGGTATGAGATTGTGGTTCAACATATAGTTGAGGCAGTTTTGTGTAATTTATCATATTTTTTAATATTGCTACAACACCTAGCGATTTAGAACATGTCACATCAACTACAATTAAGCTTAGTTTTTCTTTAGAGTAATGTTATTCATACCATGTTTTTATACCACATTTCCATACCACCTTAGGTGGCATCTGACGTGGATAGCCAAAGTATTTGAAAAATTTGCAAAACCCAAGGAAATGAAGGAGAAAGACTCTTCGTATACCAAAATCATCATTTAATTAATTAGTTTTTCTTAATTATTAATTTATTAAATAATGAACTAAATTTAAAAATCTAATTAATTCAAATGATGTGGTTATTCACATCAAATGTCACTTAAGGTGGTATAAAAATGTTGTGTAAAAACATAGTATGAATAGCATTACTCTTTTCTTTAATATTATTAAAGAAATTTTTGCATATGAGGGTCATATTGTCATGTAATGATATTAATCCACATGTTTTGGTATGAGTGTCTGATATAGTTAATACGCTTACCAAGTAATATGTGATTTAAATAGTCTCTTTGTAGCGGGTTCAGCAATGAAGAATAATCATACTGCCTTTCCCTCTTCAAGCAGAAGCAGTCGCGATGCGACGAGGTTTGTTAATGGTGACAAGAAGGGGTTTTAACAATATATGTGTAGAGAGTGATTCACTCATAATTGCACTGCGGGATTCGTCACCAAACACGTCTAAGATTGGGCAGCTGGTGGAGGATGCAAAGGCTTTGGCATTGGGGACCACTGGAGTTAGTTTCACCCCTGTTTGTTGTCAAACTGATGAAGCGGGTCATGGGATTTGCACACCAGCTCACATGGTGTTCCCGGAACCCAGAAAATTTTCTACACGTTATGGACTATTTAATGGTTTTACAAGCACTTGGTTTGAAGAGTCGTGGATTTAGCTCCTGATATTTTATTTGAAGAATGTAATTTATGATTTGGACTGAATAAGTTTGACGGACAGAATCTTTATTGAAAGTTTTGTACTTTCTAATCGCTCTGAATACGAAGGAATTAGCCTACAATAAATTCAAAATCTTATCTGTTTCTAATCATCTTATGCGGGATGAGAATAAGGGCCGTAAGGCTACGTTAATTTGCTCTCTTTTGAAATGGAGTTCTAAATTTCTTAAATAATATCATATTGATCTTTCCTTCTAAAATAATAATACTACGTGAAACCAAAACTACTGCAGGGTATTCAAATTTCAAATTCAGAAGACAACATAAGTACAAGCAAGCTGAAGAAAAAGAGAAACAAAGGACATTAGCTTAAGCATGCAAAGCAAAATGAATCGACCTCCACAAGTCACGTCAGGGATGCTCAGAGCGCGCCATGCTGATTGCTGCTGGGGTGGGGGGACATCTGAGATACTGAGAGACTACTGTACATACAAAAAGGAGCATTAACTTTGCTTGCCAAAGAGCAATGGTCCAAAAGGACAGAAAGAAAAAACCAGGAAAACAAAAAGAGACACTTGCATGCAATATGATTTTGTTTCCTTGGATCCCCACCACACGTTTGATGAAATACTTCTTCTCTTCTGGTTGACTTTTCTTTGACTTATATACAATCGGCCCAGTGCCCACCCATTCAATCTCAAGCATAAAAAAAGCTTAGGCTCCTTTGCTTTTCATGATTTGGTAACGTTATACGTAAATTCAATTTCAATGCTGGCAATAGTAGCATGAAGGGGACAAGACTAGCTTGCTTTTACTAATCGTTTTGACTTTGAATCCACCACCAGGTGCTACAGTGTTGGGGCCTAGCAGCCTAGAGGTGAAAATTTTCACCCATCTGGGTTATAAAATTTGAAGCTTGTCTCTTAAGATGGCTCCTGATTCTCCTTCCCTTATAGCTAGGGTTTGTGTACATTACAGTCAAAATACCGGCTTGTAAGAGGGAAAGATGTCTTGGAACTCATATACTATTCCAAAACCTCATGTTTTTCTATGCATGTGAGATATTGCTATCCTAACACCGAGCTTTGAACAACAGACCTAGGCCCGGCCCGCGGCCGAACCATGGTTCTTGGCTCCAAGTTAGGGTTGGACACACACTACCATAGATTCTAACCTTGTTTATTAATTAGTCCCCAAACTTTGAACCCTAAGGCCATCTCCAAACGAGGGCTGGCCAGAGAGCTCGTTTTAGCCCTTTGGCCTTCCAAGATATTAATATTTTAATGAACAGTACAAGGTCATATTTGCCTCCGTCTCCAACCGAGGGCCAAAGGACCATAGGGCTGGTTTTAGCCCTATCACAAAAAACTGTTTCCAACCGAGGGCCAAACATAATTTATTATTTAAAAACTACAACTTAAATTTAAATCCAACGGCTAAGTGACGTCAGAAAAAAAATATGAAAAATAGAAGTTATAGGAAAAGTTTTGTAAATAAAAAATAATAATAAAACTGTATAAAATCAAATGCAATGGCTAGCTAACATTAGCTAGCCTTTGCATTTGAATTTTAGCTTAAGAGTTCCTGTTAGTTATAATTAACAAGAATACATTTATATTAAGTAATATAAATGTATTCCTGTCGGTTATTTAATATAAATGTATTCCTATTGGTTATAACCAATAGGATTAATATTTTTTCTGGCCAGCCTCGAGCTGCAGCCAGCCCTCCAGCCCTTTGGCCGTTTCAGATTTCGTGGGGCCCTCTGGCTTAACCCTTGATTGGAGACGATTTTCGGACTATTTTCGGCCCTTCGGCCCTTCGGACCCTTCAGTTGGAGATGGCCTAACTAACTTCGAATAATCCAAGACCTGAGGCTCAATTTCTCTTGTGATCGATAACATGGGAAAATAAAGTAAATTATTTTTAATTTAATTCAATCTTTATTTTAACTAATCAAATTTAAGAACGTATAAATGTATTGATTTTGTGTGCTTAAATAGTTTTATTGAACTAAAATATGAACTAAGATAGTCCACCCCAACTTCTTATCCCGTACAAATGGGAAATGGTATAGGTTTTTCAATTCACATAGCCAGATGATTAGAAGCATGGCCTGCCAACCAAAAAAAAAAAAAAAAAAAAGGGAAGCATGGCCTCATCCCTCATGTGCTTATTATAAAACTCAATGGTGATGATGCATGGGTAGGGGCCTAGGGGCACATCATCTATTGATCTACCCTACAGAATTACAGTATGCAAGCTCTGCAAGGTGCAAAATCCAGCTTTAGATATGAACTTTGTCATGACTCTATTGACTCTTCCCACCAAAAAGAATATAACAATAATAATAATACCAGTTGATGTATCAACATTTTTGTAATCCATGATCATCTTCCAAGAATCCATCGTCGTATGGCTGGATATTACTGCATGCATACTGCACTGGTTACATTACATGCATCCAGATCTTTGGTCACATAGAATCATGACTGTCTTACTATCTTGGAAATCGGCTCCCTCAGCCTTTTATATAAGATCAGATGATCGTCTCCCAAAAATAATACATGAAGAGAGAAATGCCAGCAACACAGCAATCCACTGAGAAAAAGAGGGATACCCTCCCCTGTAGTTTGAGTATAATGCCAAACAGAATATATAGGTTACCCTGTTAACATATCCTACCATATAGATTCTCTTTTACTGTATCTTTTTCTTTCATGGTTTTCAACATATATTTGCCTAAAGACGATATGTTACGCTCCTTACTCGATAACTTAAATATAGCATCACAAAATAACGTTTTCTTGTTAGAGGAATGTTTATATATGTTGGAGGGCTTTGAATTTGTACTACTTATGATCAATATTTTGTATTCAAGTAATTCCCCTTCTCTACTATGACTAATAATGGTCAAGATAACTGGCATGTTTTCAACCCACAACATACATAGTTTATTGTTTCTCAACAAGAAAAACATATTTTTAACTGTTAATTATCATGTCTTTTATAATTCTTATGTCTCTATATATGAAGATTTATGTTGCCAGACAAAATACAGTTAAAATTAACCAGAACAGAGTCTAACAAGATATATAACTACACAGTTGATGCAAAAGCATTTCTCAAACACTATATTAGAACTTACAAAAGAAAAAATTGGAAGTAGTTATAGTTAATATATAAGTGACATTGAATCTGTGTATTGTTATAACTTATCAATATTAATGGTACTACTCTCTTTTTCTTTGTCCTTCCTTTATGGGTGGAATTGGAAAGAAGTTGTGATAAATGGGCACACAACTGTTTTTATAGGGAGATTAATTATTTAGATTAAATTTTATAAATCATATGACTATTTGTTGATGATTGAATTATTACTTAAATGTTAGTTAACGTACTTATTTTTTATTAGTGAAGAAATTTTTTAATGTCGAGAACACGACCGAGTACACCACGTCTAATAATATAATTGGTTAGAAACTTGAAACAAAAAATTTCAACCAATAGTATTATGCCAATTAATGTACGGACTTTATTCCTAGCACAGTAAAATTTTTTTATTTCTGACGCATCATATATTTTACGAGTATAGTTAAAAAGTTTTCCACCTAGCACTGCTGTTTCCATATATATACTAGCCCCACCACCTCTTAGCATACATACAGTTCAGTGTTTTGTTCACACTGCTGCTCTTCACCCCTAGCTCTCTTCAATTACAAGTTACAACACAGACACATGGCGAAACGTTTCAATCTCCGATTCTCCCGAGTCATCACCTCCTTCCATTCCTGCCGTTCGAAAGATCCCTCCTCTCTCCCCTCAAATCCTGTCCCTTCATTCCTCCGTCCACCCCCCTTAGCCACGGCCCCGACACCACCTCTACCGTCCAAAACCCACCACCACTCCTCATCCATCAAACGCCACGTGTTATTTTGCGGCTGTAGACCCAGACCAACGCTCTCCGACGACGACCACACCAAATCATCGCCCGATCTTCATAAGTTCGAGTGGGACCGAGAGGACAAGTGGCACGTTGTCGCAAAAGTCTACGACATCACCCCCCGACGCAAAATCTACACTTCCTCCGCCTCGCCCGAATCCGACGCAAACGACGGCACTTCACCTCCTCCCTCCTCCGCCATAGAGAAGGAACAAAAGAGGAAAACGCGACGAGTCAACAGAAAGAAGAAAAGAACGACGAGTCGCATCCGGATCAGCGCGTCCTCGTTCGAAACCGGACTTTTCAGCAGCGAAGGCGGCGGCTTCGACGATGGCGAAGAAACCGAAACCCTAGTCTCCACCAGATCATCCTCCAGAAGCTTCTCCACCGACTCTTCTCCGCCGCCAAGGCGAAGAAAAAAGAAGCGGAGCAGCAGCGCCGCCAGACACAGCTTTTCGAGGAAGTCTGCGGCAGGGGAGAGCGAAGCTGTGCCGGCAAGGCTGTCGATGTTTCAGAGGCTGATACCGTGCAGGGTGGAGGGAAAAGTGAGGGAAAGCTTCGCGGTGGTGAAGAAGTCAGAGGATCCTTACGAGGATTTTAAGAGGTCGATGATGGAGATGGTTTTGGAGAAGCAGATGTTTGAGGAGAGGGAGCTGGAGCAACTGCTGCATTGCTTTTTGTCGTTGAATTCGAGAGAGCATCATAGGGTTATTGTTGAAGCTTTCACAGAGATTTGGGAGGGTTTGTTCTGTTGTAGTGCAAGATCCTCAGGAGCTAGGGTTTCTAGGGCTCTTTGAAATATGATTAACTAGTGTTTTAACTTTTAATCAATGAAATGGAAAATAAAATTGCTCTCTCTTTAGTTTCTTCACAATGTAGTTAATTGGGTATTGTCATGCATTTTTCCTCTACGTAAAACTAGATGATCACTTTGTAGTAGTACTTGGGAGTTGGCATGCATGATGAAGCAAGCAAACACATGTTAATTATTAACTGGAAGTACCAAATATAAAACATAATTTGTATCTTATCAAAGGAAGGTAAAAAAAAAAAAAAAAATGCTCCACTATCTTAGTTTTGTCCTTTTCTTTTAAATATTTTGACATACATTAACATGGATCTATTTTCTTAGAGTTTAATCTTTTGGAAACGCTTAAAATGGTATCAGACTATTGATTCTAGAAGGCTTTGGATTCGGAATGACAAAACCTCCGCCAAGTGTGGTCAAATGATTTCATTAATCTTCATCTCATTGATTAATTTGATTTAAAGATGCTTGCATTTAAAAGTAAACGGGAAGACTGGGTTTGTGAGATTTGGTTGGAGCTTCTCTTACCGTGGCGCTTGACTAGGACAATATTTTGGCTCCGTCACTGATCACTCAAAAAGAATAATGTGACCTAGTTTTTTAGGAATAGTGTTGATTTAGGCCTTCACATGGTAGAAATCAGGTTCAATTATTGTCTAACACCTCAATGAGTCAATAAAGCAAATAGTAGGTCATGAAAGCCGTGTTCAACGGAGGCATTGGAAACCCCATGGACCTATGGAGGATGTAAAGTTGCAACAGCTATAAACGAGTTTGCACTTTTGGTCGACAAGACATGAGACTAATTGATGCCCTGCTCGTTTGACAGGAGGAGGAGGAGGAGGAGGAGCTAGCCTCATATCGATCGGTAAACGCAGGCGGATTCATAATCAATAATATTGACGACGACCAATTAAGCATTTGGACCGACTAGCGATTAAAAGCTAGCCTTCTGGACTGCATATAATGATTATGTTGTAACTTGCAACTTTAAACATTAACGAATAAATTAAGCTAATCCTTTTTTCCGCGATGCACGCTAGCTGCATATGGAAATGGAAGTATATAACATTTATAAAATTGGAAAAATTGATAGTGATCTTCTAGTTTTTTTTTTTTTTTTTTCATTTATTAAAGGGAGAAAACTGATGGCAAACCACAGTTATCTATTCCTTCCGGGGGTTGAGAAAACTCACAAAGACATTTCAACCTCTCCCTGGCCACACCAGCAATGGGTTTCGAACCCAAGACCTCCAGTTTTTAATTTGAAGGAAGCCTCACAATCCAGCCTTTACCACTGGGCCACCAGCTTGTGGTTATAGTGATCTTCTAGTGGAAGTGGTATGCTTTAATTAAATATGAAAAATGAAAGAAGACTGCCATTAATCTTTTTCTTTTTTTTCTTTTTTTTTTGAAATGTTCGTTACTAAGATTGTTTTTTTATATTTAATATACACCACTAAAATATGCAAATAATTCTCGCAAGCGCTAATCATTAACTATCTGAATGGGGACAATTGTCACTAGCATAACTTTTTTGAAAACATGCAAGAAAATGTTCATGAATAAGGATTTTAATTGTTTGTTAAATCAATACCTTGTTTGATTGTGCCATATATAAGAGGGATTACCAAAACCTTTTCAGCCCACTAGTTAATACATTTGTTTTGTTGCATGAGGATTATATGAATTTTGTTAACATCTCGTCCATACACATGTGAGCATAATTTAACTGTTACAAACAACGTAAGTTCTACATACATCAATTATCCAAAATCGTTCACACAAGCATGAGCAACTGAATATAACTTACCTCAAGGACTAAAACAAAAAACTTCACCATTAAACCAATGTTCAATGTGCTTGTTCATTCCACTACCTCGGTCTTTTTTAGGTATTGCCAGTTACTTCTATTCCTTTCACCTTTTCTTTTTAACGCACAAATGGAAAGAAAGAAAACTCCCCTTCAATATGTATTGTACACACTTCACGTAACGTAAAGTACCCACAAACACAATGGAATCGAATCCCACCATCCATCTCTCGACAAAAAAAAAAAAAAAAAAAAAAGAAAACCGGTCGTGATCAGTCAGGTGGTGAGAGCCTTCTCTTCAATTGTGACCCACCACTGTAGTAAAAAGCAAGACTTCACTAATACCGTTAGTAGTAAATTTTGATGGGGCAGGGAAGTGCATGTCTTTAATTTAAGGTTAAGGTTAGAGAGATTAAATTTCTAAATCAAAGTTTGTCAATCAAATAATATAAACATTGATGATTGAATTATTACTTAAATGTTAATTAACGTGCTTATTTTCTATTGGTGACATATCATTTAGTTTGAAAATTTGATTTAAAAATTTAATCTTTCTAGCATCATCCTTAGTTTAATATTTCTTGGCCAAAGAGAATGAACTTGTTCTGGAAATGGGTAGGTTTCGGTGGGTGGAAGGAACACACGGCACCAGAGATTCTTTACCAACCTCAGAACTAAAATTTTAATTTTATCTGGCTCAAGGTTGAAAGAGTTAATTTACAAATGTATCCATGAACTTAAGTGGTTATTTTACTTTGGTCATATACTTTTTTTTCCCTAAAGTGGTGCATAAACTTTTTAAAATGTGGTAAATGAGGACAATAGTGACATCAGCTACAAAAGTTGACAGAATTAGTGGTTAGTTGTTTTTTGGTTCGAACAAACCTCAATGCCAACTATGTTAACAAAAAATCCTTTCGCACTAACACCAAACCGTCACAGCCTCTATAGACCACAAGTAGATCGAGAGACGTTCATTGTTAAGATCATTCCCGAACAATGCAAGAACAACAACTCAGATGGAAGCACAAGTAAGAAATCAATATTTAAGGTGAAAAAATATTCGGATTGGTTGTTATGTTTCCTTTTGAACATATCAAATGAGTACTCTTAAAAATTAAGTGATTACGTGTCAGTAGATGAATGACATTTTAGTCAAGTAGACGAGTCGTCAAAATGCCCTCCAAACTATTTTGTAATACAAGAAGATTTGTTAGGGTTCAAAAATTGAAAAAACCAACTTGAAATTGGGACGAAATAAATTTGAAGGGCCAAAGTGGAAAAACCGAACGTCTGAAATCAGCAACCACAGCAGCACTTGGCCCCAAGAGATTTCAATCTCCGATCTTGTTTTCGATTAGCGTAGCAAGTTAGCAGCAAATGAAGAGTATCATTAGACTCATCGGTCAGTCACAGTTGTGGGAGCAGCTCAGGACTCGTAACCCTACGGTCCTACACTTGTTTGTCCAATCCACCCTTGGATTCTTATCCTTGGACTATTAGTGACTCCTGCCTTGGGATTGAGGAGCGTGTATTTGAAGGAAGAGAAAAAAAACAAAATCAGACAAAAATACTATGGGTTACTGCATCAGTAGTCTTCTAGCTTACTCTTGTTTAGTCCTTTCTAGATTTCTTGTCCAACGAGGCCCAGGGATTAGGATACACCTGATTTTCGGGAGATTTTTTTGGGTAGGGGACTTACGAACCCCTGTGTCCAAGACACAAACAAGTGGCATCCCTTGCATTCTCCCGTGTCCCGGGTGGACAGGTTACACGACTCTAGGATACATATATATGTTGTGTGTGTTGTTCAATCAAGGCCCTTGAATTTTGAGAATTGGAACAAGCAAGGTCAGTGAATTGGATTGTGGCTTTCTGAATTGGAATTTGGATTGGAATGGTATCCAATTTAAATTGGAATTGTTGTATTTTGGATTGGATATGCGCTATTTTGGTTTGGAATTTGGATATGTGCTTAGAGATTGGATATGTTATTGAATATTAGCCATGTAGTTTGAATTGGATATGTGATTGCATATTAGGTATTTAGTTTGAATTGATTTGGATATGTGCTAAATTGAATTAGATACGTTGAATTATAGATGTGCTACTTTGAATTGGATATGTTGAATTGGAGATGTGCTACATTGTTAGGATAGACGGGTTTAGTAGCCAACCCAGTACACCTACGTCTTAGGTAAACAAAAACCAACAAGCCAACTAGTACACTTACACCCTCTCAAGTAGAAACTCCCTCAAATGAACAATTATCATGAAGATTATTAGGACGATGATCCTGATGTGGATTGTGTCTAGAGGTATGCTTAAATGATTGGGGCATAGACAATGTATTTACCCATATCGTTGACAATGCTAGTGCAAATAACACCGCAATTGCATACATGAAGATAAAGCTAGAGTCGAATTGTACTATTTTACTTGACGGGGCTCATTTGCACATGAGGTGGGCTTGTCACATCCTTAAATTGATATCCTAAATCGGACCATAAATTTTCAATGCAATTTTGTAGCCTTTGGTGTGGTTTTTCAGACTTCGACTTTCAGTTTGATATCCCAAACCGGACTAGCCCTACATGACATGGAAGCTCATACCCAAAAGGATGTCTCGATTCATCATTTCATAAAAACTTCGCATTTGAGAATTCCATTAATAAATTATGGGTTGGTTGGTTCTACCTCCTATTTAGTAGGTATATTGCTAGAGATTGGATTTGGACAGTCTTTCAATTGTATAGAAAATTGTCTGAATTTGCAAAAATTGACCTACCTTTCTACCCTTCTGTGCAGGAGAGCAATCACTTATTTACAAGGTTGTTCTCTGCAAAACAGCACGGAAAGAGGAGCACATAAACAAACCATTAATCATGCAAACAAAGAAAATTACTTCTCTAGAGCAAAATGTACGCTTCTGCGATCATTGCTGGCTGCAAGGAGAATGGTAGATGAAATGAAACGACCGACTCATTCACGAAAGGAAAAACCCTAATCACTTCAATTCAATTATGTTTGCTGTGCTAAATTTGAGTAACCACACTACTTATTAACTGCAGAACTAGAGGTAGCTGTTTGTCCTGGTTGCCTGCTGCAGTCGAAAATAATTCTAAAGCTAATCCGACAACGGTCTCATCAAGATTCACAAGCTGCTATACTACTTGAAGGTAGCGATATGATAAAAGTTAACACTATTCAAGTTCTGCTGCCTGCTCAATATAAACCCAAATGCCGCAGGCATGAACATATACTCCACTCATTTTTTTAGTCGGATTAGCAACTATCATCTTCTCACTAAGCTCAACACTAAGCCTGACTTATTAAACCAGAAGCTTTCATGTGGCAAAGAGACATGTATTACAAACACGACAGCTGGAAAGCTAACCTGCCTGAGAGTGCCATGTTTGTCAATTGTTGAAACAATGAGGAAATACCATTGTACACATGTAAAACGCAACTGAAAACCTTGAAATAAGTTCTTTTAGGTTATGAAAACTTTGAACAAACAACGTTATGGAAATGAAAAAGACATGCGCAGGCAAGGCATTACCGTTATTCTTAACTATGACTCCTAATTCACTGAAAGGGAGCTTCTCATCCACATCTTACAATAGATATCAGGTTTAAATTAGAGTTATCCATTTCCTCCTACATCCGAGCTCTATTCGTCTTGGAACGCCTGAAACCACAGAACTAGCACAATACAACAAAATTACAGTACATATCTGATATTTGTTACGTTGAGACTGAAGGAAATACTTTTCCCCTACTAAATGGCATTTCATAATTGTTACCTTTCTATGTGGCACAAAACTTACAGAACTAGAAAAATAATAAAGGTTTCGGAAAAGACAGTTCAATACCTTATTTACACCTATTGGCTTCCCACATAGTTTGATCATATGAAGCACCTTCACTGCCTCTACAGCTGCCAAATAAAAAATAAACAGTCAGCATCACAAAACCACAATAGGGAAAGATATCATGAGGTTTACACCAGAAACTTTCTTTGAACATAATTCAATTCATGGTTCTTGAAGAGACCATTCTTCTGGTGCCGTGTCTTTGGGAGCAAACACAGTAACTGCAAGAGGAAGACGGAGCTCATACTGCAACATATCTTAAAAAATCAAATTCATGTGGTTTCATCAGAGTTCAACACACCGGTTTCAGCCATCCGAATCAAGACCTAACAAAGGCTTAATCTTCTCTGCAGACAAGGCTATTATTGTGGATGCAGCGGCAACTAAAACTGATTGCAGACAAATGAAAATAGGGGTAAACCAACATGGCCAATTTGAACAAATAATTCTTCAAAAAGGAATTGCATAAATTCAACAACTCAACTACTCATTGGCAAACATTAGCTGCTTAACTTCTCATATTCCTGCAGAGACTATGCAGTTGGAAAAACCTTAACAATAAATACGAGGGATAAGCTGGCAAGGTGCTCCTTCTCCTGGAGGAGCGGAGTCTTCATTCTGCCTCTTTCTCTTTTTACAGGAGAATTCTGTCCTTCTCACCTTCTTTACCAAAACAAATTCACAAGTAGTTGACAGATTCGGATTCTCAAGCTTAAACCTTTTTTTACTTATTTTAACTGACTATTTCTCTTCTCTGCTTGACTCTTCCCTCAGTGACCCTCCCTTTCTGTAATGTGCTCTCTCCATTAAAATATGACTACTCTCATATGCAATTTCGTGACTCTTGCCCAAGTATTCGAGTGTTTCTCTCTTCCCTACGATCTCTCGTATGCAATTTCGTGACTCTCTCCCCAGTAGTCAGGCGGTTCTCTCTCCTCTACAATCTGGCAACTCCCTCAAATAATTGTTTTGGTTTTGAACCAAGATATTTTTGTTAAGCTCACTCTGGTTTGAGTTGTAATATTGAAATTTTTGCCATTAAACTCAGAAACATCCATAAGCCAAAGCACAACACAGAATTCAGGGCCAAATGTGGTAGGATAAGTTTCAACCAGATAAGACATGTTACTAAAAACAAGATTACAAACTACACTGGCGATGGTATATGCAGGATGCTAAGGTCCTAAATGGTATGTCAATAAAATGGGCCTCTGAATAAAAGACAGAGAGAGCAAGAACACAGAAATCTTACCAACTGCCACATAGAAGACAACGAAAAGAAAACTAACATAAAAACAATCAAAATTGAAGCTCATACAGTATTACAATTCCAAAAAGCTTCAAACTTGCTTCTTCGCTGCGGCCAATTGACATCCTTGCTCGCAGTTTAATCATATATCGGCTCACCAGCCGCGGTCGCAGGTGAAGTAATCAACGGATTGAACTCAGACCAACGAACCAGAACCCCCATCAATACTTATGTTGTAGCCTCTTTAGCCTCCTCATCCGCGACCGAAGAAGCATCAGTATCAGAAGAAGCCAAACCTAGACCCTGCTCCAACTTCTTCCAGGCAACCAAAACATTAGGAGGAAACTTCTTCTTGATCGTGCGTATCAATCCCTTTGTCTCCTTCATCTTCTTCTTCTTCACCAATCCTTCCACCAAATACTTCATCGTATTGAAATCAGGGATCTTATGCACCTCCACACTCCTCTTGAAAACCTCATACGCCTTGTCATAATCCTCACTCTTACACAAATAAAATATCAAAGTCCGGAAAGTTGCAGCATTCGGATTACATGCATTTCCCTCCAACCCCTCATAAACCTTGAAAGCTTCTTCCATCATCCCATTCCTGCAATAGCAAGTCATCAAGTAATTGTAACTAATTGTATCTGGTTTCAGCCCAGCATTCGCCATTTCCTCAATCAAAGCTTGCACATTGTCCGCACTCCCACCATGGACATACATAATCTTAACATTATAAGCCGCAGCGTCAACCGCAACGCCCTTCTTCACCATCTCATCCCACAACTTCTCCGCCTCTTCACCATTGCCCTTCTTGTACAAAGCATTAAAAATCGTGGTGAACGTCACTGCAGTGATCTCAATACCCTTCTCCTCCATCAATCTCAGCGTCTCCATTGCCTTGTCGGGCTTATCCGCTGCGCAATACGACTTGATCAGTATACCATAGGACACTTTATCAGGGGAGACCCCATGCTTGCTGGGAATTTCGTCGAACAGCTGGGGGACTCTGTCGAAATGCTTGGAATCGTTGCAGGCAGACAACAGAGTGTTGAAGGAAATAGCGGTTCTCGGAGTACCGAGCTGGTCCATCTGATCAAACGTCCTCAATGCCTGGTCGAACATACCGGCGCGGCCGTAGGATCGGATGAGGGTGGAAAGGAAGGGCTCCTGGGTGATTTTGGGGTCATTCTTGTGGGATTCAATGAAGGATTCGATGTCGGCGAAGCGGTGGGACTTGGCGAGGCGGCGGACGGTGAGATCCTGGGCGTAGCGAGACAAGGTAGGAGAAGAGTAGTGTTGGGAGACGGAGGAGTAAATCTGGAGGGCTTTGTCCGGGTCGTACTCGGTTCGGAGCTTGGACTTGGCTTTTGAGATGGAGAGGGTAGACTTGGCGGTGGTGGTGGAGAGGTGGCGGAGGTGGCGGAGGGAAGTCGAAGATGACATGTTTTAGGGTTTATGCAGCTTCGGGGGTGTTGGTTGGAAGCTCTTTTGTATTGAATGTTGAGGGTTTAGCGGTTAATTTTGTCCTGTTACTGCGTAAGATAAAAGATACAGGAAACCAATTCCCGGGATTTTTCCGTACTCGGCAGGAAACCTTCTAACCGGATCATAACTCCACGTCAACTTGAGAATTTCACCATGTAACTCGAGAAAGGCACGAAAAAAGCTTCGTCACAAAGGTTATTACTTGTTAATTTAGTACTACATGTACACGTTAGCCTTTAAATTTTAAAATCCTCAGGGCTAGAAGAGATTAGCATGGTAGCTGGAGAGAATAATGACCAGTTTTCCCAGCTCAACCAAGGATTTAGTCTGCCTGAACCCATGTTACATAATGCAGTCGGATGTACACATACTGCAGTAAATAAAAAGAGATGGAAAAAGTAGACTTTGCAAACGAAAACAACAAAATATAAGAAATAACAGTTTATTCCTTGTTATACATACCACGAGGCTACACGATACCACTCTAATGATGAATATGCAACCTCAATACTTCTAATTTCCAAAAAATCTCAACACATGACTTAATAATACATTCAAGTCAAACAACTAGCCCTCGTAGTCGCCCTCACCAAACTTGTCCTCGGGATAAAACACTGCTACCACCTGATTGCCACCAAATTTCCGGCCATTCAACCCCGTACGGGCTTTTGTAGAACCCTCAGTATCCGCATACTCCAAAAACACCTGCAAATACAAGGGCATTTTCAGCATGTAGAAACACCCAACCCCGTAAAAACTCAGATTTTCCAGACAAAATGTATTAATAACTAGATTTCAGACACTAACCTTCCCAACACCGGGGGCAAGTTCACCATCCGGTCTTGGACGCGGGATGATGACATTCACTAATGTACCTGCACATCAGTCATAATCAAATAACTATTAAAAATAGACGACAACACAAATCTTATGCGAATTCAGTTAGAAGGTTATGGAGGCTTCTGTCTGAATGTTAGGCCTGATTCTTTATAGCAGAATGTGGGACTACAAAAAAAGGCTGTAAAACAGAAAGATAACGACAAAAAGAAATGAGAAACTCAATACCGCAATAAACTTTCTAAAAAAAAAAAAAAGGAGTAGTGGAGTTAACTGAGTGATAGTAATTTACCAAACTTTTCGCCTTCAAGCCTCATGTCTTCCAAGATATCATCATACTCAGTATCGTCCCTAAGCTCATCTGCAGTTACTACCTGAGTTAAACATACAACCTTGGTGGCAACAGAACTAGGGGGTTGCAACAGCATGAACCTCTGCACAAGAAACAAACACCTCAAGACGTTAAATCAACCCAGATAAACTAAACTTTCCGAAAATTATTAATTTAAGCCAATTTAAAATATAGTTTAATCTAATTTAACACCTATTAGAGGAAAATTAGCAATTTCACTCTTACCTGCAATGCAATTTGCTGCTGTGCATGCAACAGAACACTCTCCTTGCTCAGGTTTGGGCTGGTTGGCACCTTGGTTAGCACGCCTAACTGTGAGCGTCTTGTCCCCCATTTTAATGCCGTTCAGCGCTGCACAAGCTATGTCTGTAACTGAAAGATCTTGGTAAACACAGAAGGCATAGCCTTTTGAGTTTCCTGTTTCCCTGTCTTTCACTAAATCAAAACCACGAAGAGGTCCAAAGGATTCAAGTAATTCCTTGATCTGTGCTTCTGTGAAGTAATATGGCAGCCCACCAACAAATATGCGGTCAGGGCCCTCAAGCCCACCAGCAGAGCCCGGTGTAAGCCCCACAGCAGCCAGGTTCAGATTGGGATTGGGCTGACTTGGGCCGAGTGTTGCAGCCAGAGATGGGTTGTAATCGCTAGGTCTCCGCACCTTAACAGGGGCTCCCTGTAGCAATTGTCCGGAAAAAAAAAAAAAAAAAAAAGAGGAGAGAATAGTCAATACCAAGAAAGTCAACTTAATCCAAAATGCTCAAGTTAATCATATACTGATCTAAACCAAAGGGAAGAATAGAGTACTTCAAAAATAATTCCATCCAGAGCCATTGCATTGCTAGCCTCTTCAACGGATCTCATCTCCACAAAAGCAAATTTCTTTTCATGGTTTATGTAAACATTGACGACAGCATCTCCTGCAAGGAACAAGTAAAACAACAATTAGGCGATCAACTAAAGGGAAGCGACTTTATTATACCAATTTGAGTGCAAAAATCAATATACCTGGGCCAGCAGTGTTCCCTCCAATTGCAGCCATAACTTGGCTGAAAAATGTAGCAACTGACTGCATATGACAGGAAAAACCACATTATACGCAAGAAAGTGTAAGCTTAAGTACACATTAAAACATAGTGTTCATGTTGAATTAAAGGTAGATGAGAAAAAATAATAAATGGTAAGGATGAGTTGAGTAAACCTGTTCATTTGCTGTGGGGGGAAGCCCTCCAACGTACACCCGTCGGGCATGCCTAGTAGCCTGATAATTATAAATAAAAGAACAATTAATGTCAGCACATATTACGATTAGGGAGTAGTGGGATGTACTGATACAAACTAAAAATAGAATCTCAATCATGCCAACCTGTTGAGTCATCGCCTGAACAGGCATAACTGGAAGGGGTGCAAACTGCTGCGAGAACAAATAAAACATAATATTAGTGAAATAATGCCAGTACCTTAAAATGGTGAAGCTGTCAAATTCACCTAAAATGCCCCTTCCTAATTAGATAAATAGTAATATAACATTTTAAATGTTAAAAAGTCAAACTAGAATTTTTAAAATAAACACCCACTAGTATTTTTAAATTTCAAAATATAAAATTAGTATATATAAATTAAAAAATAAAAATAAACTATAATATAAAAAGGCCAATTGCACATGTGTACAAGTGCGCAAGAAGCTAGTACTAGTGAAACTCAAGCATGCTGGTCAACAGAGGGAAGGAAAGCGACCAAGAGAAAGAGTAAGAGATACCTGCCCGGTCGACAAAGGGAACATGTTTGGAAACATCCCCGGAATGGTAGGGACTATTCCCAGAAATTTGCCCTGCAAACAAAATTGGATCAGATTGCAGTCATAAGAGAAGTACCACATTAAACTTATAAAAATGTTAATGCCAAATGACTCCTCCGCCACTTAATTTTCCATGAAAACTCGTTAGGTTAAGCAATATCCAGACCTTCAATTTATTTAGTTTAAGGAGATGAAAGAAATATATCATTTACAAGTTCTGGAAGAAATATTTGTAAGACTACCAAAAACGGCAATAGTTTCCGGTTGAAGACGAACAAGATCCATCAAACCGGTGCATTGATTCCTCCTTGTACATAAAAGCTACAGAAGTCGGCTCACACCCATTGTCATCACAGTGGGGCAAGTAGCCCAACATTGCCTTCTTACAACAAAGGAAAAGACATAGAAACAAACAAACAAAAACACCAAACACAAGAAAAAACCAAAAGATCTCTCAGTCCCAGAATTATTTCACCAAGTAAACAATAAAAAACTTACAACCCTTCCAGAGACCACAGCTTTATAAAGGCTATGTGCACAAGGGAAGGAACAAAATATTGCTTACCAAAATAACACCATGCAATTGGATACGAACTTTCCACACTAGTCCAACAAAGAGAAAAAGCAGTTACACAGAATATAACAATCCGAAGTCTAGGAGGATAAATGTACCTGCTGCGGCAATGGCAGCACCAGCCAACATTGCAGAAGCAGGAGGTGCCATGTCGAAACCACTGATCCTTTTGCTGCAAGTCATTAGTATTAGGATACCAAGAACAGAGTCAATATAAAAGAGACAACTTAAAGGCACGAGACCAAAAACCTACATTCTGCAAACATTGTTATCACAGTTGCACAGAAAAATAATATCGCAAAGTTACCTGTCCCACCCCAAACTTATACCTACATGAAACTCACACACAAAAAATCACTACTACAAATTTCATAGAAGTTGACAGTTCACTACCTACCTAAAATGGTATATGTAGGTATAAATTTGGGGTGAGACAGGCATTCATATATCCAGGGGTGTGGTGGTGAAAAGCGGGTTCGAAATTGATTATGTACATCCCAAGACAAATGAAACAGAACCACGTCTTTCACCACCACACTAGCTAGCTAATGCATAGTCAATCATTAGGAATAAAGACAGCAAATAAACAAAATTACCAACAAGAGTTTGGTCAAAGACACCCAAAATTAAATAAGGAAAATAAATTTAATGAAAATAACTCATCAACCAAGTGTTTATTCCAAGATACTTGGGATTTGGTGCAAAAGTTACGAGTCCTTTGCCAACCTCTCAAGAAGAAAAATACCTTTTTGAGCGTGAACGAGAACGTGACCTTGATCTGGATTTGTGCTCAGATCTACCCCTTGAACGAGACCGCGACTTGCGCCTGTGCCTATCCTCTCTGTCTCTGTCATGATCCCTCCGCCTGTAAAATCATTGCATAAATTATAATAGTAATAGGACAAAAAGAATCTCAAGGATTTGTTTCTAATACAGAAATTTATAGGATAAGCTTCACCAGATAAATTCGCATACTTATATAGCAGTATAAAAATTCCTCATTGCACGAATTGCATCAAAATCAGTTGATATTTACACAACCAAGTTCCTCATCTCCTAACAGAAAATTCATTTAAAGGTAAACAATGGAATCAAATTGGTCATACCTATCAGAGTCCCGGGTACGGTAGTGATCATTGTTGTCGTCATCCTTATCTCTCCGTCGCTCACTTCTTTCACGATCCCTGTGGCGGTCTCTGTGATGACGATCACGATCCCTATCTCGGTCCCTTTCTCTTTCTCTATCCCGATTCCTATCCCTATCCCTAGCCCTATCTCTGTCCCTGTCCCTATCCCTTTCCCTATCCTTGTCCTTGCTTCTCCCACTGTCTCTGTCCCTGTCCCTGTCCCTATCCCTATCTCTGTCCTTCTCCTTATCACGCCCTTTATCTCTATCCTTTTCTCTGCTCTTTGAAGATTCTCTCTCATAATCATGATATTCATGCTGCAAAAGAGACGATTAAATCAGTGTATAATGTAAAATAAATGATGAAACCAAGCTAATATACACCCCTTTCCACAAGATACTTCAATATAATTATTTCACCAGAACAAATATGTACATTCTAGTGTTATTAAATATCAAAGTGTCATCCCATCTATAATAGAATACATAACTGCAATTCTGTGACATTTGCGTATAAGTACAAGAGAATTGTCTACAGCACAATAACGACACAGCCAGAACATCTTTCACAACGTACATCATCACATCTATCCTAGAATGCATAATTGCGACAATTGTGCACATGCATAAGAAATCGTACGCAACTATAAGCATTAAACATCAACAACCAAAGAGGCAAGAAACATAAACCAGTTTAATAAACCCTGACTAACAGAGAATTCTACTGAAGAAACCTCCCCATAGAAACCCCCAAACCCCAAAATTCACCAGCTAAAAAGAATTCCATAAAATAGTTATATAAGCACACAAATTCAAAGCAGAAAACGAGTAGATCATACAAAGACAGAAATTGGGATGAAAAAAAAAAAAAAGCCCGCAGAAGTCAATATATTCAAAGAACCCTAATTTAACAACCAATTCGGCTAACCCAACCAAAACCCTAAAACACTCTCATAAACGCAACATCTTCGCATCGATCTTACAATTAAGTAATCGAAAGCAAACAAGAATCTAAGGAATCAATCGTATACTTTTGCAACACAAGGCGTACCTGAGATTCAATTAAGTAATCGAAAGCAAACAAGAATCTATGGAATCAATCGTATACTTTTGCGACACGAGGCGTACCTGAGATTTGGAATCGCTGTAATCGTCGGCACCGCCATGGTTGGCGGCACGAGGTTGAGGAGAGGACCCACCGTCGGCGTAGTTGCCAGCGTCCTCTCCGTTGTCTTCGTACCTTCCTTCGTAGTCCGTCATCATAGGTTTCCGCTACCTCGCAGTTGAAGTCTCGATGTTGCAAACCTACTTGATGTTTGTTTCTCGGGAAAATTGTCTGCGATTATAGTGACTCTGAGCGAGCAGTGAGAAATCTAGGGCTCGATAATTGGGCTTTTCCCCTTTATTCCAAGTTAAATGGTAGCGAGGGTAAGGGATTACCGAGGGCGGTAAATTTTATTTTTATATTTTTTTAATTTTTTTACAATATGCTGTAGGTAGGGCTGGAAAAAAATCCCAAAAATCCCAAACCAAACCGAAAAAATCCCGATCCCAAACCAAAATTCCCGAAAATTTCGGTATGTCATCCCGAACCAAACCGAAATTTTCGGTACGGGATTCGGTATTGCATCTCCATTTTTTCGGTATTCCCATACCGAACCGAAATAAATATTATATATATATATATATTATTTTTTAATTATAAGAGAATTATTTCAACCGTTCATTGTTTTAGATTTAATCTGTGCTGTTCATTTGTTTTTAGGTTAGATCCCCCATTTCAATTTTCACTTCCGTTCCATCAAGAGCTTGAAGCGCAGCCACTGTGCCACCAGCCTTCCTTCACCAGAATCACCACCCAGCCACCACCCAGCTTGGCTTATAACTATTATTTTTGCTTTTGAGTTTGTTACTTTATTTATTTTAAAACCTTGGCTTGTAACTATTATTTTTGCTTTTGGGTTTGGTACCTAATTTATTTTTATTGCATGCATGATGCATGTGTAGTGGGCAGATTGAAATTTTGTTATTATTGAAACTTTGTGCACAAATGGGCAGTGGGTAGATTGAAACTTAATTTATGAAACTATGTCAAATTTGTGCAATGGGCCATGGGCAAATTAGTAGAAATAACAAATTGGCAGTTTGGGCCAAAAAGCATAATATGTCAAATTTTAGCCAAAAGCATAATATGTCAAATTTTAGTCCAAAAGCCCAAAAGCATTTTGGGATTCCCGATTTGTCCCGAAATCCCGAAATTATTTCGGGATTCCCAAAAATTGGAATTCCCGAAAATTTGGTTTGGGATTGGTATTGAATTTGGGATTCCCGAAAATTTCGGTTTGGGAATCGGGACAAGAGTTTCGGTATGGGATCCCATACCGAACCACCCCTAGCTGTAGGCAGTAATATTCAGAGAGAACTACCTAACGTCGAAGCGACGGCGAGGGCAATGACATTACCATTTAAGGAGTGCTATTTTTATTTTTATATTTTTATTTTTTCTAGGTCCTATTCAATTTTCAACTTTTGAATCAAATAAATTGAAAAAATTGATAACTAAAATTAATAAGACTTTGCGAGAGGCAAAATTGGCTACGTGAACAACGCTTTCCTACTATTTACTCTGGAAGGTATTTTTGTGCAATTTAACAGTTGGGCAAAGGTAAAGGTGATTACAATTTACAAATGGATAAAGTGTTATTGGTACTCTAAAAATTTCATTCTACACTCCTCACAAGTGTATTTTTCTTTCCTAATATAGAAAGTTTGGAGTGTAGAATAAGATTTTTGAAGTGCTAATAACAATTTCCTACAAATATCTTGTTTTTTTTTTTTTTTTATGTTTTATTGGTCTTATCCCCATGTATCATTATCGCTTTAGATTTTCGATGATATTTTGATATTTTCAACCATTCTCGTCGCACAACGTTTCATTATCCATTAATAGTATATACTCATATTTTATATAAGGTTCTCGACTATCCACCTAGTGCCATTTCTTTTTATCCAATCTTTTGATTTCCTCATATTTCTCCATATGGAAAAGGATCATAACCGGATCCCTTTCCTGAAGATCCTAACGAAAAATAATCGTACCATGTATGATGAATAAATACGATCGAAGAATTCTTAAGAAAAGAATTCAGCGAGCATCATTTTCCTCTCCATATAAACCCTGCAGCCCAACCACATCATGTTCTTTCATCAATATCTAAGTTGAGGAGGTTGTTATCTTATTAATTCATGTGGCATCTTCTAATTGGTTTTGTGGGTTCCACATGGCAGCCATGTAAGCACACTAATTAATTTTTTAATAGAGTTGGATGACAAGAACAACATTGATGACTGAAGCAAAACATGAGGGACAAAATTGTTGAGTTTGGAACATAAGGACCAAACTGATCAGTTGATAAAATGATAAGGAATCATTTGTGATAAAAAAAATTCCAAAACAGTGGCATAGGAGTGGGCACAACATACGTCTGGTTTTGTTTCAAAAAAAAAAAAACTTTAACGAAAAGCTCTCGGGTACTGTTTACTTTAACGAAAAACCACATTTTTACACTAAAATGTCAATCATGATACTATTCACTGTTTGATTCTTACGGGTCTATGTGTCCTTTTTTTTAAGGAAAACTAATGAAAATGGCTTGAAAACTTTGGCCTCATTTGGCACGCCGTATAAGACCACCGGATAGTGCTAATAATACGGAGCGGATGTTTGGTGAGCTTCGTATTAAATAAGCACCGGATTATTTAATCCGGCCCCACTTTTTTTATCCCCTTCACACCCGCTTGTTTATCCCGTCCCAAACCTCTGTATTATTTAGTCAGGTGCATCTCTCTTGCTCACACTGGCTCACTCTGTCCCTCTCTCACGCACTCTCCTTCAACTCTCTCACATTGCCTGCTATCTCTCGTCTACTTCCAGGTTTGTCTTCGTCTCCATCTTTTTTTTTTCTCTCTCTCTCTTCCTCCCTCCTTCTTTGCACACACACCTCCCACCTCTTTGTTTGCCTTTGATTTCTGAAAACAAATTCTTCCGAGGAAGATGATGATTCAAATTCTTCCAATATGGGCTCCGACAACGAGAAGGACGATGAGGAAGGGAGTTAGGCTCCGACGAGGAGGGGTATATCAATTCGGATCTGTGCTCTGATGAGGAAGGGAGCTGGGCTCCGACGAGGAGTGGGACAGGAATTCAAATATAGGCTCGGAGTTCTCGACCCTGGCCATTACTCCTCTGCAATCGGTTGCCGAGGGTGGGATTGATGTGCGGGGAAGATGGTGAAGAAGGAAGATGCGATTGAGAAGAGTCTTGATTTTTTTTTCCTTTTTATTTTTTATTTTAATTTTAACAACAATTATTATGAATTAAAAAAAAATTATTACAGTCCGACGTATTATCCGATGCATAAATTAATCCGATACAATACCAAACGCTCGACTAATTTAGTCAGTACTATCTGACGACTATTTATCCTATCCGACTGAAATAGTTAATACAGTCCGAGCTGCCAAACGAGGCATTTGAGTTTTAACGATAAGGACAAAATAAAGGGTAGAGTGAATAGTACCATGATTAACTTTTTAGTATAAAAATATGGTTTAATGAAAATAAAGGGTAGAGTGAATAGTACCATGATTAACTGAAATGTCAATCATGGTACTATTTATTTTATCCTTATCGTTAAAACCTAAAATTTTCAAACCATTTCCATTAGTTTTTTTTCTTTTTTTTCCTATTGAGAGATCACGTACTTGCAATTTTCAGAAACATATCTTCCCTCATGCAAGCAATTAGAGCACAGCAAATCAACTTCTTTCTTGAGTGGCAGATGAACGTCCCTTTAAATTGTAATCTTTACTTCTTTTCATTCATAATAGAACGACGACGATTTACGACAAGACAATTTCATGTTTAGTATGTGTATGCACAAAACTATCATTCTACGATTCTAGTATTATACTAGGAGTCTACGACAATATATTCCCTGGAAACAGAACGAACAAATCAATCTGTTTCATCAGGTTTCCAAAATCGGTTTCCGCCGTGACCCTTTTTTAAGACCCATGAAGAACCGCTGGACACGCAGAACTCATTAATGACCTGCACAAGAAAGCAACTTCTATTAAGAAATTATCACGAGAAATCGTATCACAGGCCAATGCTCCATTCAGCACTGATATACCATCTACACCATTCACTAAACGTCGCAATAACCTCGAGTACTTCATGAACCATGATTCTAAAAGGAAACTGACGTGTTTTGCAGGCTGCTGATATACGAGAACCATCAAGTGGCTCAAGAACAGAGTTGGAAACGTAGGGCAACAAGAAGAAGACGACAATGGTCTGTTTTAGGGTTTTCAGAGCCTAGGGTCTTCTAAATATTAATTTGTTGAGGAACATGTTGTCGCACATGGGAGAAAGAATTTATGTTTGGTAACCTGACAACAAATGTAAACTCTGTCGAATCACAAACATGAAAAACAACTGACCTTGCTGAATTCGTTGGAAGTGAATTCCTGCCCAAGAGAAATCTTAGTTGCTTCAGAAACCTCACCCCTTTTGAGCTTAGCATTAGGTCCTTTAGCGCATAGAAGATCAATAATAACCTTCCAGCAAGAACAAATACAAACTTAAAGTTAAATAAGAGAAGAACTTCTTACATTACGATAATTTTGATGGAGGGAATCTTGCTCATTCTGAAATCACCAAGGAACATGCACAGAACAACATCATCTAATATGTCAAATCCCCAGTGAAGGTGCACAACATCATATGCTTTCGGGACTTAATAATTAAACAATAGAAGAAAAAGGGAGAAAACCTCAATTTGTCATGCTCTGGGTGATCTGGTGATGATTTCAAGACATACGAACCATGTATGTCTATCGTAATTTCACTTATTACTCTCTGCAGCTCAAGTTGACGAGCCTGAACTCCATATTGTCACTTTTTTACTTCTACGATCAACCTTTGGAAGAGTAGAAGTTCTGACTGCCAGATCACTTAGTCCTCTCCGTATCAGCTGAAAGCTGCCATGAAAATGACAAAAGTCAAGACGACAAGAATGAGAGAGATACTTCCATCAATTTCATGATAGCATTATCGCATCAAGAACAAAGAGCATTAGTAATGTAAAGTCTACACTTGGTGTGTAGAACAGCCTTTATGCAGTCATATTACGCAGAATAAAAAATTTGAAACAAAACAAAAGATGGAAAAGATAGTCTTGAAAACTTCAAAAACTTACTTGCAAACCTTGTGATCTTGAAAAACTTCCTTTATAGCCTCTTGTAGAGCTGCTCGAGTTTCATCTGACATGGTTCTTCCCCCAATGTGAACTTCACTTGCACCTTTTGTCGTACCTTTACCAGAATTCAGTGATTTGCCAGGTGTAGTAGTCATACTAGCACACTTCAAATAACGGTCAGTATTAGATTTAACGGCTATCCTCAACTTTTCTTCCATCCTCTCCCAGTTCTGTTCTTGGGTTTTAACAATGTCTGGGTAGAGTTCCATGAATGACATATCTGGTTGCTCTTTGAATTTCAAATCTTGAGTGGAAGGTCTTGAGACAGCTAGTATTCTGAGGGAATCATACACATGAATTTTAATGCCCTCTTGGAGGTCTAGATGAGAATTTCTGATTACAGGGTTCTTCCGAGATAAATTCAGAACGTAACTTCTAGCTGTCTGTCGATCTTTATGATCTTTATTTGCTATATGATTTATATCCAAGCCTTTCTCATCTTTATTTGGATATAATAATAAGGTTTTTGGAACCCAAAGACCAGAGGACAGCAGTAACTGAGAATGCTTCTGAAGGACATCCAGAAGTTCTTCCGTGGTGTGATCGGGAGCAAAGTACTTCTTAAGATCACCGAACCAGCGGACTACAGGTTCCTGTTATGGCACAATTACGGTTTCATTGTCATGACTTAAAAAAATTTTGAACACTATAATGAAAAAATTAGTTGTTTTCCATATGATGGGAACAATGTTGATAAGTTTGAAAAATTAGCTTCAAATTTACAACTATATAATCATCAAAACATTAATTTGTGGCTTCGGTAATTGCAACAAACCTCAACAATTAACTTCTTGATACGCTCTTCCAGAGGCACGGAAAGCAGAGACCTAAAATGACAAGCAGAATGGGATTAATATAGTATATACTTCCATCATTGTTTATCTGGCCAGCGACCAGGTGGTCCTCTTTTAAAAAAGGAGTTGTTTTTTTTTTTGTTTTTTTTTGTTTTTTTGGGGGGGGGGGGGGGGGGGGTGGTGTGGGTGAGGGGAGGTGGGAAGGAATTGATAATCTTCTCAACTCTTTGAAAATTAAAGGTAATGTCTTGAAAAGAAGAACTTATTAAAGGAAAATAACACATTATAATTTCCACAATGTTAAAGTGAAATCAAATGAAAGAACTAAATAATGTAAAGATGACCGCACCTTCTTGAAGAACCTTTGCATGTTTTAGGACACAAGGAGTCAACATAGTCATGCCTTCAAATAACAACAATATTCAAAATTATAACTAGCACATCTAGAGCTTCTAAAGAATGAGGGTAAAGGTAAGTACTAGGAAGGAAGAAAAGACCGTACGGGCTCATTGTCAATTCTATAGGTGAACTTTCTTGCACCACCATCTTCCGTAAGTATCTGGCCGAGAAATCACTTTTTGAGCTATGATACCGAAGTGGAAGCCAACTCTGGAAGACAGTGGAGAAAATGGATATCATACATTATATATTTAATTACCTATATAAATTATCACAACCAATCTAAGAAAATAAACCACTGTAGCACCTCCTGGATCATTACAGAAACTCAAACATTCACAAAACTAAGCACATATTTGCCTTCTGGTATAAACAAAAACACAATCCACAGCATTAATTCCAGGGAATAGAAGAAAGATTAAAAAACAATATGATCAAAATATCCTGTAAATGTCAAATAACCAATCAACAAAGTCAACCTCAGTTGTCAATGTTTGAAAATCGCAAAAGTGCCATGTTTAATGATCCTGACATGTTGATAATGTCAGGGAGAACAAAATGTCCAGTTTTTTACACTCGCGACATTAAGAAGATTTGTACCTAAATTAGGCAAATAAAGAATGACCACCAGAATACTTAGACGCCAAAGAATGTATTCATATCCTTTGACATGGTTTATTAAGATTTGAAAAGAAAAGACGAGTTAATTGTTTGTTCTAGAATCATCTAATGTGTTAGAAGATAAAGGACGTGGAGTACCCAATGCACTACGCAAATCTCAAAGACCCATCACAACATAACCATAAATAGCCAAAGGATTCAACAGAGATGAAAACAAAAGACTACCGCGTACACACTTGTCTTTTAGGATAAACGAAACTTCTAACCTATAAGCTACACTTAGAAATAAAGCTTGATAATGTCATACTCAACTTAATGATCTGAATACAAATTCTCATCTGAAGGAAAAACAAGAAGGGAAGAGTCATTTTTCCCATTGATTGAGTTTCCTAAAAGATATTATCTTTTTGACAGGTAAACCGAAACAAAAAAGGAGATCTAATAAGGAATCCACATCAAGAACAATAAAAAGAAACAATAATTAAAAGAGAACGTTGTAATGGCTGATGACACCAACATTATTATGCTAACAAATAGTAATATTTTCTCCTAAGGAATCTAAAATGCATAGAAAACCACACTGGAACTGCTCATAAATAGCTTATATTTGTTCATAGCCACCAGATCAGAATGACTGGTTTTTCCATGATTTTAAACATATAAATGGACTCATAATATTAAACAACATTCAATATATAATCCTCATTATACACATAAGTTTGCAGATTACAAATAGTAACTTTCTCATACCTCTTCGTCTTCAGTTTTTTTCTCAGTTGAAGACTCCATCCGCTTGTTCTGAAACAAAATAGTCACATGACATAGAATCAAGTCTTATTGTGTAAACAGTTATGAATAAAAAAAGTGCATGGTTATTGTAAATCTTAAAGTAAATCCTGAGTAGATTTGATAACTTCCAATAGTTCTTCACTAAAGAGCCATAATTCTGTAACAAAATAACAAAATGACAGAGAGAACCTGCATCTTTGATGGACCCATAGGTTTTTCTTGTCCAGAGTCTTCCAACTTAACTGTAACTTCTGCATCCCCTTGACACTGTTCTTCCTTTTTGAGCCACTGGAGTTCAAATGATCCAATGAGGGTCGAAGCTGCACAACTGCATGAACAGGATTCAAGTGTAACTGCAAAATGAAGAGAAAACCAACAGTCTCACATAGTAAGATACTATAAATATAAAACTGAATTACTTTCATAAGAGATACTAAAAAGTTACTAATTATACGCAACATTTGTGAGTAACTTTAATTGGAATAAATAAATATTTTAACCACCAATAAAAAGAGAAAACAGAAAGACAAGTTTTTCTGCACTTGTCTAGACTCTGGAACATTTCATTTCTGAGAAGAACAGCCGTTCTCAATTTCCATGAGTGGGCAGCCATGGCGCAGTAAGGATTAAAAAAAAATTTGATCATACATCCAATGAAAACCAAATGCAGAATTCATATCTACCAAGCAAGCCCATATAGTCCTGATTTCACAACCACTCTTTTGAATGAACTGCCTTGGTGACACAAATGACACTTCACAATGACAACAAAAGAAGAGAGTTAAATTTGTGATCTTAGATGTTCGGTTTAATCCCAAACAACAAAATTCATTCTCTGTGACCAACTTCGTCTGGACCAGAAAGATAACATAAGGAGGAGCGGCATTTAGCATCTAAAATTTACACAGGAATCCTTTTCAAGAATAAACTATATGCAAGCTTAGAATTGGACTTCCTCGGGTCTGATGGCCATTCAAGTAACTATGTAAACCTAGCCAGCTTTCAATAAATTAACACCACTCATAGTAAACAACTAAACACTCCCAAGGTACATATTTCAACACTACTGACCAAATATAAATAGCACCCTATTGCTTTGCAAGTTCAATGACTGCACTCTCTTAAAAAAAATCCAGTTTAGATCACTGAAAGTGACTGGAAAGTCAACTGGCCTACGAGCTCAGGAGGAGCCCTTCATAACTTTTTACTTGCTAGAACTTTATTTTGAGGGTAACAAGGGATGTGGTCTCGTCAAACGATCTTAATGCTTGACAAACAACCTTTATTAGACGCATGCTTGAGATAAGAAATTGCCTAAAAAAACTAAATCATTTACAAACCTACAGTTGTTAAAGTAAATTCAGCCACATTCATGATTCAAACAAAACCGAGGATGTTAAAGTGCATACCTTATTGCCCATCAAAACACCAACGGCATAGCCACTTGTGCCGGGTGACTTCCATGTTGTAGACAAAGTCTGAGAACAAACACAAACACAAAAACACCAATCCACATTACATTTTATAACAGTGTAGGCAACAATGTCACAACATCCAAAACATACTCGAGCTATGGCTACAATGATTATGCACAAAGTTGACCTGCTTTGTCATTTTCAATCTGCTAGCGCAATCTTCATCGAAATTCTTCAGGTCCCGATCAAGTGACCAATCAATCTCCATTTCTGAAGTTGTGGGACTCAGCCTCACCTCCTCGCACCGGCTCTCCAACTCGTATGGTCGCCACCATGGCCTAAGAGGATATTGCAATACATACAGCTGATAACAAAAAAAAGATCAACATTTTAGGCAAATCCTTTCCAAAAAACAAAAATTTAGAGCACAAGAGAGATCAAGGATGACAGACCTTAGAGTTGTCGACGATTTTCGGATTGAAGAAGACGTTGATTTCCCGCACGACTTCGTCTTCCGGTTCGTCTTCTCCCATTGGATCATCCTCTTTCGAAACATCGTCGTTTTCTGTTTTCAAACCGCCATTTGAATCCTCGGCCTTCGGGGCGCTTTCTTCTTCGTCTTTCTTTTTCACAGTTAGGGCGTCCAGTTCTACTCGCGTAGGTTTGAGCTCTGGCTTTTCTGGGTCGGGCTTCGGAACCGGTTCTTGTTTGGCGACGGGTTCGGATTTGGGTTTAGGCTTGGCCTTGGAGGACCGGGGCACGAACCGGTTGGGCCTGGAAGGGACCTGGCTCTGCGCGTCGAGGTCATCGAGGTTCATCGTCGGCTACTCTGTGGTTTCTGTTTGTTCCGGTGAACGGTGGCGGACAGCGGAGCTGTGAGAGTGGGTTTTTTTTTTTTTTTGAACGAGAGAGTGGCGTTTTTTGTGCGCGGTTTTCTTCGGGGTTTTGGTGGGGTGAAGTTTGCGTGGGGACTTATAAGTTTTTTAATTACATTTTTGGTCCAAGTAATTTGATTTGTTTTTCACTTTCGTCCTACTTTTAATTTGGGAGTTTTAATGAAAAAGGTTTAGACTAATTTTAATTTAACCGAAAAACACCATGCACTTTTCTTTAACTAAAAGGGCTTCATATTTAATCATAAGGACAAGACTAATCTATACCAAGCCTCACAAACATTGAACATACAGGGGCTAAATCAAAAGCCCAAAACGAAATAAATTTTTTTTCCAGGCCTTGCCCCTAACGGAACCCATTCTGTCATCTGATTCTGTTACAAATAAACTTCATTTTATTTACAAGTATGCCACTACCTCATTAATCCACTAGACAAAAATTAATGTGTTTGGTATTCAAATCGAGATGAAAGACACAGGAAGAAGGAGGAAATGAAGAAACAGAGAAAGCAAAATGGAGGCACCGAAAACAACGAAGCACCAAATCGTAGGAATCCAAAACAACGCCCTTTGGTTCGGACTTCACAACGTCAAGAGCGACCTCGTCGGCGCTCACCCTCTCAAATCTGCTTTGGAATCGACAAAGTTAACTCAAGAGCAGATAAATACGAAAATCTTGGGATACACTTATGGAAGTGCGTTTTCACTAAAGATGGATTCCCTTCTCGATTCTAGAGGCCTGCCAGACCAATTCCTTCTTCAATGCTGGGTTTGGAAGCTATGACTGGAAGATTGGATGATTTTGGCTTTAAGGATTACCTAAATGACCCCCTGGGAATCTGAAACCTTCCGGCCTGTGGACACATCATGCAATGCAAGTTCGCCTTGGGCTTTCAAAAGGTCCAATCTCCCCAAGCTTTATGTGATCCTCGTACACTTCCTCCCCTAAAGAAGAGGATTAGTAACCTTGTCAATGTTATTCTTAAAATGTGATTATCTGTTGCGCTGTGATTTGAAAGGTCCAGGCATTGATATTGTGGTATTGGCTTTCTTCCAACTGATGACAGTTTCTCTATTTGGCACTTCAAAAAAAAAAAATGCAAGTAACAAGAACCCAATTGATGTAAAAGTCAATTAAGTATAGCAGAGAGAGATGGGATTTGGGCTTTTTATTTGTTCATCGAAAAGTTAATAAATTATTAAACTCTACATTGGCAGGTGTCCTGCATGGCTGATGCGTGTCTGTGAGACTGACACCATCTCTGTGTACCTTGTTCCACATCCCTCTCCCTTAATCTTCTTTTGAATAACAATATAATATAAGCAAAATAACAATATAATATAAACAAAATAAGAAAAATAAAAAACTAAATTCTTTTAACTAAGCTTGTTTAGATGTACTTCTTGAATTTGAAGTTGAAGTTGAAGTTGAATTTGGAGGCAACAACTAATATTTATCTTCGATTTAAGTACTGTTGGTTGTCACTGATTGGTACCCCGAGCCCCAAGTCGACCTTCTTCCTTCCTTCCTTACCATGCATGCTTAATTATATATGTGCCAATCAATTATTAACACACTCGTTTTCTATTTGTTAATACTATAGAGACCAAATTTTTACCAAATTTTGTAAATCAAATGATGTAGATATTGATGATTGAATTATTAATTAAGCATTAATTAATGTGCTTATCATTTGGTTTGCAAATTTAGTTTAAAATTTGATCTTCTTTAGCATTATCCTCTATTAATTAGAAGGGCACACAAACATGCATGAACTCCAATTATAAAAATAGTCAGTCAATTTAATAACAGTGTAGTACATGCGTCAGTTTCATAAATAGTCAGTCAATTTAATAAATAATGTAGTACCCATGTCAGTTTCATAAATAGTCAGTGAGTTTAATAAATAGTGTAGTACATGTGTCAGTTTCATAAATAGTCAGTCAGTTTAATAAATAATGTAGTACCTGTGTCAGTTTCATAAATAGTAAGTCAGTTTAATAAATAGTGTAGTACCCGTGTCAGTTTTATAAATAGTGAGTTTAATAAATAGCGTAGTACCCATGTTAGTTTCATAAATAGTCAGTTTAAGAAATAGTCAGTATTAAGTTTCATAAATAGTCAGTCAATTTAATAATAGTGTAGTACTTGTGTCAATTTCATAAATAGTCAGTCAGTTTAATAAATAGTGTAGTACTCATGTCAGTTTCATAAATAGTCAGTTAGTTTAATAAATAGTATAGTACCCCGTGTCAGTTTCATAAATAATGAGTTTAATAAATAGTGTAGTACATGTGTCAATTTTATAAATAGACAGTCAATTTAATAAATAGTGTAGTACCTGTATCAGTTTCATAAATAGTCAGTCGATCAGTTTAATAAATAGTGTAGTACCCATGTCAGTTTCATAAATAGTGAGTTTAATAAATAGTGTAGTACCCGTATTAGTTTCATAAATGGTCAATTTAAGAAATAGTCAGTGTTCACTTTAACAAATAGTGATAGTACCCGTGTTTAGTATTAAAAAATAGTCAGTATTCAGTTTAAGAAATAGTTTAGTATCCGTGTTCAATTTCAGAAATAGTCTGTTTAATAAATAGTGTAGTATCCATGTTTAGTTTCAGAAATAGTACTCGTGTCCAGTTTCAGACATAACCATATAAAAAAAAATAGTGAGTGGAGAAATAACATTTCAATTTTTTAATTTTTTTTATGGTGAATGAAATTAAAAATATAGGTGAAAAAAAAAAAAGACAATCGGTGTAAATAGCCTTGGTCAAGATTGTAGCACAAGTAGTACCTGCATGAACAATTAAAATTTGTAATTACCAAGCTAGACAAAACTTTAAGCAAGATCAATCCATTATGTAATATTTAATTCAACTAAAAGAAAGAAAGAAAAAATAAACTTGTTAGTAAACTGCAGAGCTATAAAAGAATAGTATTATACCTCACATGTTCGATCTGATCCTCTGTTCTAAATTAAAATTAAGGAAACAAAACACAGATTTATACATGCATAGAAAACTAGAAAGCACTTGATGAAAATAAGATTTGGCACCTGCCACTGTCTCTCGCTCTCTCTCTCATCTAACAAAAGAACGACGAAATTTATTTTTTATTTTTTTTGCATTTGTGGTTTTTATTTTCAACAGTGACGTTTTGGATTATAATTTCAAAGGGTTGCGAACTTGCGGGATTTTAAAAGGTTTGTAAAAGGCAGTGTCAAAAGGCTTGGGAGTTGAAGAATGCTACATAGAGAAAGCTTTTATTTCCCATCTTAATTAATCTCAATTTTCTCATCAATCAAACAAAAGATAGAAAATCGAGTCACATATCTATCTACCCAAAAGTATCCTGGAAATTGATGGGGTCGGGAGGGATGTCATTGCAATCAGAAGACGCAGGTAAGCGTCCGATTGCCCAGAAGCCCCCCCTTGCAATTCTTGCACCTTAGGAACGGCGACCATGATCCAACTCCGCTAGGTTTCTTCGGCGGAAGGTAGATTCGGTAAGGGCGTGTCATCTAGGTCGTACAACGACATCTCCGCTTCTTTCCGAAGCGCAATCTGCATCTGTTCATCACATGCATCACGTTTCCACTGCCATTTTTCAAAGTTGGTGGTTGTTGATGCGTGTGTTGGAATTGGAGAGGGAAGACAGAGAGGAGTTGAATCTTAATTTAGTTGGAAGAGAAAATTACCTGGTCAGTTGGAAAACCAAAGAATCAAGTAAAATGGGAGCTCGTTGATTTGATGGAGCAGAAGATCTATATACATCATAGAGAAAATTACAAACATCATGGAGAAATAAATTTGAGATCTGTATACCTTTCCTCTCTCGCGAAACAGACCAAACAAACAGGAAAGCCATGACGTTAAGGGCAAAATTGGAAGTTCGATAAATTACATTTTTTGGGCTAATTTTGTTGGGCTGGTTTGATATTGGATTTTGTCCTAACCATTAAATAAAGTAATTAGGGGATTTTTGGTTAAAATATAAAGTTTTTTAGCTATTTTAGTTAGTTTTCCTTTTTAATTTTGGCAAACGTTGCAAAGGTGCCACGTAAGTCTTGTAGCTTGGTTAATAATTTTTTTTTTTTGAAACAAATAATATTATCTACACTAAAGGGGAGATGTGGGACTTAACCTCGCAATGAGCTAATAATAATGTAGTTCAAATTCACCTTTGGCTTGAACCTAAGATATTACTTACAAGTGAAGATGTATATCACTAGACCGTAGTACTAAATGGCTAACTTTTTCTAAGACTTAGCATTGCCACTTAGGAAGTGTTTGGAAGTATTTATAAAAAAGTGCATTGCCATTTAAGTGTATTTAAAAATGTTTTTAAAATAATTGAAACCGTTTCTTTTGTAAAAATACCAATGAATTCTAGAAAAATACTTAAATGTTTTGCGCAAGAATCACAGCTTGTTACTCAACTTACTTTGTATGTCCAACAGTAAATAAGTTTAAGGCTTAACAGCCTATCCACGAAGTTCTTAGATTCTGGCATATATAACGCATGGACTCTCATTGAAGATCTTGGTCCACGAATGTCCCTGCACCATCCATGCATAAGGATTCAACTTCAACATGTAATCTGTAATCTGTAATTCTCTATTGCGATGCGAAACACCAAATAATTGTCGAGTTGAGGGAACCTCGTATGGTCATAACACGCATATTACTTTATCTGATTAGTGGAATTTAAAGTTTGGTTTTACTACTGTTCAACTTAAACATAACTGGCACTAACAATATTTGTATAGATTTTTTTGTCCCTTGAGAGACAATTGTCATTGTAGTCTAATGATATTTCTCTTTGTAAGTGAGATGTTCGAATCTCGTGAATGACAAATTCATATTTACATACGCAATCATTTGTATTTTGTTTTTCCTTTTTCTAGGGCTGCAACTTTATTACACTATTTTGTAAGGTTTCTTCTTTTTTCTTGGTTAATTGGTTTGTTTTGGTGTGGGGTGCGGGACTGAAAATGTGACCACCAGCAAGCCAGCCAACTCTTGTCAGTTGTCCCTCTCGCAATTGTAAAAGAGATGGAATCATCTTTTTATGGTGAAGGTGCCAAAGAAGATGGGAACTGTTAGGATACTTTCGGCCAAGTGAATTTATCAACGCAAGAGCTTTTCCAATTAGATTGTGACCTGGTTATATTCCCTGATATGGCTGCGGTTGCTATCGGGGTATGACTTGCTTTGATATATATGAGAACATTTCTTCAGTGCGTAATGGGTTTCAAGTGTGTTGAATGTGCAGAAAATGTGATTGCAAAAGCCACGAATTCCTCAGACTTGACTTGGGTCTGCACTTTAAATTTTTTTATGATGTGCAACACAAATTCCTAGCAGTTTTCTTGGCTTGTTTAAATGCATGTATGAGGATTCGTATCGAGTTGCTCCAGACTTTCGGCATTATTTCATTATTCTGCATGTATGTGGAGAGGTCCTGGACAACATGGGCACTCTGCAGGCAACCATTTTTCTGCAAGGGTTGTGTACAGTTATGTGTGTACCCATTTATGAAATTACCCAATGAGTAAACGGTTATGAGCAAATAACTGCGGTTATCTGCCACCATAACCATTGTCCATTTTCTTCTGGTTTTGTTGGTAATTAATGTCGTCCAATGAGAACGAACCTACGATTTGAAAACAGTTTGAGGCTGTGCATTAAGGTTCTCCATTGGTGAACAAAAATACCTGGAATCTCACGCAAACACTCTGTGTGGCTTGCTTGGCCTTCCGATTTGCTGCAGTTGGCCACTGTGAAAGTGGGTACAGTAACAAATGTTTTGTGCTATATGGACATCATTCACCATGAACCAAAGGAAAGGATGAGAGATTTTCATTGGAGGCGATTAAAATTGCCAATTAGTACTGCAATTTAATGGTATTTCTCTTCACTTGTAAGTGAGATGTCAATGGCAGAGCGAGGATTTCTAGTGAGGAGGGGCCTCACACAAGTATAGAAGAAGACATAATATATATCCAAATAATTAAGTAGTCAAAATTAACATATTCATAAATAATTTTATCCATTTATAGTAATCATAATTATTCTCGACGAACTTCATATTTTGAAACCATTGCATAATCTCATCTATACTATTGAAATTATTATTAAACACAATAGCGAGAATTACTAAAAATTTTGCAAACCCTAAAACTCAAGAAAGAGATGGGATAGAATAGAAACAAATATTTTATAGAGAATAATAGAGTTTCACAAATCTTGTTGTTCTTTAGTCAATAAGTTTGGGATTTGGAATGGCTAAATATATGAAATTTAAGAGGAATAAGGGAATAGCTCTGCCGGTGCATAAGTGAAAGGTGATTTTTTTAATTAAAAGTGAATGTCGGGTTTTAATTTAATGTCATTGATTTGTGATACATGACCATTTGAAATATTATACTTAATTTTTGGATGGGATTTGGATGAAAAGATAGATAAATGATTGGATGCAAAGCAATAGATATAGGTATAATACTAATCTTGTTTTTTCGAGTCAGGGTAGGCCTAGGACTACCCTAATCCTCATGTGCCTCCACCATTGTGAGAGGGCTTATGTTCGATTATCGTTAAAAACGAATTTGAACCAAATTATTAGTAAACCATTATAAGCTAAGCCCACCCCCTCTTTCTTAAAGTAAATAATATCGTTCGTTAAAAAAAAAAAAAAAAAAAAACACAACAAAACAAAAAAGTTCATCCGACTAATTGCCATTATATTGGATTGTTTGTTAAGGTCTAAGGGCGGACCTTAGTTTAAGGGTTAGGATTTTTAGCATTCTTTGGGCCACTATATGTTACTAGTACTTGCTAAGCATGTAAACCCAATTATGTCTACTGAACTATAACTATCCGTTTATGTATTTAAATTCTTATGTTCATCTCAAGAAATTATGAATGAAGAATATTATATTTAATTTCTTATTTTTTTTTAAATTCCTCCTTTCTACGAAATGGGTTCCATCAAGAACCTATTAGAAAATGTGAGATATCACAAGAGATTTGTTTAATCTGGTTCCGTGATCTTTAGCTAGTTTATGAATTTATTTTCTCGAAAGTTAGTTGATTTAGGGAGGCTTGAGGCTACAACACACCCTACATTACCTAAAACTCCATTGCTGTTCAATCATTTTATGGAAATGCAAAAAACCAAAACACACTAAACCCAACCTAAAACAAGGAAACCAATTTTTGAAAATTCTATCCATATCCCCGACCACGCTCATTAGTTAACAGACCTCAACCTACACAGCTTTAACAAAATTACATCCATGTCATCCGTCAAACACTTCTTGGACCATTTTGCAAAAGCAGTTTCAACTATATGTAGAATCAATTTTATATATTTTTTTTATTAGAAACATTTTGTATACATTTTAGTAAAATCAATTTGTATACTTTCAACACAACTACGTACATACCACCAACCGACCCCTTATCGACTATTTTTGCATAAGCATTTTGAACTTTCAAGTATATGTAGATTTAGTTTTGGATTTTTTTTAGTAGTTCCAGTTTGTATACTTTTTAATAGAATTAGTTTGTACACTTTTAATAAAATTACATACATGTCATTAGCCCAACTCAACCAACCTCAACCATTTTCGCAGAAGCTGTTTCAACTACCTTTAAATCAGTTTTATATGCTCATAACCAGTTTGTATACTTTTTAATAGAAATAAGTTTTTATACATTCAAAAGAATATCTTATGAAAAAAATTGCTTAACTATCTATAGAATCAGTTTTGTATACTTTATTAGTAAAATCATCTTATATTACATAATAAAATCAAAGAATATAGATAGATGTTCAGTCTCATGCTCGTGGTGAGTTTTTAAATTTGGAATTTGCTATTCTGACTAAGCCTGTACAAATTTATAGATAATATTTAAGTACTTACTTTTTAATTCGACCCAACTAAAAAGTACAACTTGTTTTTTGTCTTTTAAAGCTCGAGAAAAAAATATTGTTTATTTTAAAACAATAAAACATATTTTAAAATGTCATTGTACAAAATTAAAAGGTGAGTAGTCAAGTATCGTGAATTTATTGTTCTTGCGTACTAATAAATTTTTTATCTGAATGTGATCCTAAATTAAGACGGGTGATTGGTCATTGCCGTCTCTAAACAAAGTAGCAATCCATCCAAAGGGCCCCATGCATCCATAGGATAAAAAGAAATGCAATCCAAGTCAATGCAAGTGACGGGATTCTGCATATGTATTTGGGTAAGAGGCTCTTTAAGATAAGGGGTTTTTTTTTTATTTTTTTTTATTTTTTAAATAGGAATTAGTCGTGAGACTTGCTCTATTTCGAATTTCAACGATTCGAATCATTTATTTTGCAAGGTTTAATTCATGGATCTTCATTTCAAACTTCAATTCAATTTGAAACTATTTTCTTATTTAATTATCACGATAAAATTTCATTATTTCTTATAGAACGAAGTGTTTGTTTATTGCTCTAAACTCAATTAGATGTATCAAATATTTCCGATTTGGCTAATATTTTGCAAAGATGAAAAAATAGACGGTTCAGATCGTTAAAGTTCTATGTGGTGTGGGTCCCAAAACTATTTTCCATTTAAAAAAAAATAGGGATGCCTTCCCTTAAAGGTCTCCTTAGACCATGTCCGACCCATGGGATAAAGCTTAAAATATAAGCTTTAAAACCCCCCACACCATCTCCAACCACTGGGCTAAAATAAGCTAGGGGAAGAAAATATATCATTGGGCTAGATTCCCTTCAAGATTTAAGCCTGACTTAAATTATTTTGAACCCACAAAACTGTCATATTTCAAGCCTTATTTTGTTTTTTACTTATAATATAACGGCTATGATCAAATGAGATCAAATCTAAGGATAAAAAAAAAAAAAGATTTGACGACCCAAAATTAAATGTAACTACTAAAATTATTTAAGAAAATTATTTAAATCAAATTTAACTTAAAACTTTATAAATATCTATGTATTTGTATGATTTTTAATTACTTGTCAGAATTTAAATATTTTTAGATTAAAATGCTCATAAAAATAAATTAGAATAATTTACATAAATTTTATTTTCAAAAAAAATACCATAACAAAAAAAAAAAAAGGGTAAAATCATTATTTAATAATATCGGGCTAAAATGTTAAGCCATAAGGGTTGGAGAAGAAAAATAATTTTTGGGTTATGGCTTAAAATTTTGAACTTTATCCCCAAATGTTGGAGATGGTCTTATGAATAATGTTAGATAGACTAAATATGTAGACAAAATTTTGTAAACTAAATGACATCACATTTCTATTGTGTTAAATAATAATATAATCAACAAGTTGTGAATCTTTATTTATTTTCACCTCAATAGGGTGCTTATGTTAAAACAAATTTAACAAGAAAGATAATCCTACTTAACTTAATATATGGTAATTATTTCCTCACGTGCTATGTTTAACCAAAAGTGATCGATAATTTGTCAAAGCCACATGCGTGCACGTTAAACTGAGTTAGTTTGTTGATCTGAAGGCGATAACTTTTTGCAGCCACCTAAATCAGGAACAAGCTAGAAAATACCTCGTAGTCGCACTCCTCAAGCAAATAGTCAAAAAAAGTAAAGAGCATAAACCTAAAAAGCCAAAAGCACTAAGACATTTTGTATAAAATTTCGTTGCAAGTAAATAAGTCGGGCAATATATTTAGCAAATATTTGTATACTTTGATAAAAAAGAAGTATATATAGAAGAATGACGAAAATGTAGTCATCTATGATCACCATGATGCATTTCAAGTTGAAGTTGTTTTGCAAACATAACTTGATCGACAAGTATTATGCGGATAGATTTTCGAGATGAATCTTCAAGTGGCTTTGAGGGATATCTCTTTCTATTGAACAATTACTAGAAGGTGATAGATTCCTTAATTATTGCACATTTATATATCCCATACTTATCTACATAAACCCAAGCAACACACAATCGGTCATGCAAAGTAGTGAAGGCTTTGAGGTGAAGTCAAATTTCATATCTATAGGCAAAGTTATCCGATAATGCCTTACGCCTAAGAACTATTTGCATACTACAACCCGGAACTTTGCAATGTTTGACATGTGGTAAGCATTCATACCTTTAAGCTTCTTGTTCAATGGACAAACACTTGTATATCCACACGTGACCAACATGTATAACACGAGACCATGCTAACCTTAATGCATTATACATCGCACTTACCAGGTCATTGTCCAATTGACTTTTCAAAAGGCTAGGAACTTTGTTTAAGGACCAAGTGACTATGGAATACAAGTCTTTTTGCCCTAATCTCGTTTAGGGCATTGCTTCCAACCTTAAATCATATGGACTCATTCATAGTATATTATCTCTATAATATGAAGCCAAAACTCATGAATGAATACTTGTCTTTTATTGATTAATTACTATGTATTTACTACATAATATCCAATATTACAAAATTAACTTTTTTGGAAAGCAGTTTCAACATCACATAACAAAATAATTGGAAGCTTAGTTGATTAGTACTTAATTAATTAAGAACCAATTAACTAAAAATTAATCATGCAAACGTTACTCAATTAACTTATGATCACACCACATTATATGTTAGCTAGTTGATATAGCTATTATAACAATAAAAACCTTATTTCTCTAAGTCACTGGTTGAGATAGCTATGAATTACTATTAACCCTTGGACTAAGAGCATGCATCTCCAATGGAAGATGCAAAATCCCTTGAAATGTGTAGTTTACATTTTTAGTTGGTTGAAAAACTCTCCAAAAGAGAGATGTAAAGCATTCTTCTTCGCCGAAAAATGGAAAAAAGCCCTACTTTACATCTTTTTTACATCTATTGAAGGTGGGTCCCACTAATCTCAGAGATGCAAAATGAGATGTAAACATGATTTTACATCTCAAATTTACAAATTTTCATTGGTGATGCTCTAATATAAAAAAATGATCAAATTCAAAAGATAATGGGTTAATTATTATTTTTTTTTTTTTTTTTTTTTTTTTGTGGTTGAGTTAGGGTCAAATAATTATCATAGCAAAAGTAGTTGAACATTTGAAAAATTAAACTTCTTCCCAATTATGTTATGACACAGTCTGATACATTAAAAAATTTCTCCTCCCCTTCCACCCTAGCTCCCTTCTCCCCACTCTCATGCCCAACCAGCCACGTTGCAAACCCATCAAAAATCAACATGGGATATTGATTCAACTCCACAAAGCCTATGCGCGTAATTTAAAAATTATATTTTGAGTTTTTCTTTGGGCCTTTAATCCTTTGTTGAATAGAAAAAAACTTATGCATTAAGCAAAAACCTTTTCAAATACATTTTTGTTAAATAAAAACATTTTAAAACTAATTTTATTGATAATCGACTATATAAACCATACATAGGAGAACAATGTAATAGTTGTATGTTTAACTCTCACTATTGTAATAAGATGTTTGTAGTTCAGTTGGTTAAAGCATTTACTTTTGCGCTTAAAATTATGAAGCTTAATTTCAACAATAATTTTTCACTATTTAGAGTTTGGACCACAAGATGATGGTGTTAATTGCTATTAGACATCCATGTTGTATCCAAAAAAAAAAAAAAGGGCCATGAAATAATTCTCTTTTATTGGACCCATCTTATATTTTGTAACCTAGTTCACATGACACATTAACATTTTCCATCGATCAAAGACAACTCTTGTGATTTTGTTGGATATCAAAACGACTTTTGTTCCATCTTAATTAATTAACTTGTCATTTTATAGTCGATTGCTTTGTGTCCTCTTGTTGTCGTCCTTGTCCTCGCATGTATTCCAAGTACCATTTGCTTGTTTTATACATGAATTACGTTATGCACTTGCAAATTCGGATCATACAACAAATAACATCTATATATATATTTTTTTTAACATTGTAATGTCGTGCATGAGAGCTTACAAATTCATTACAATGTCCTATATCCGTTAAACAACCAGTTAATTAATCATCAAATGAAAATGTATCAACTGTGAGTCTCACACTTTTATTGATGTGATGTCAAAGTTGTGTCGCGTGAACAAACTTTATATTAAGTTTAAGGAAAACTAATGAAAAAAGTTTGAAAACTTTAAGTTTTAATTAAAAGGATAAAAATGTGTTGTAAGTGAATACACTTTTACTGATGTGCTGTCAAAATTGTGTTGCATGAACAAACTTTATATTAAGTTTAAGGAAAACTAATGAAAAAAGCTTAAAAACTTTAAGTTTTAATAAAAAAGATAAAAATATGTTGTAAGTAAATAGTACCATAAGTAAAATTTTAAAGTAAAAATATTATTTTCGTTAAAAATAAATAGTACTAAAAGTGTTTCGTTAAAATTTCCTAAATCTAATGAAAACTAATGGTTGTGTGTTTCGTTTTTCTCTTCTTCTTCTTTTCCCTTTGTTCAATGCGATCAAATCTTATCTCCAGAGAGTAGAAAGAGGTGTGGGAGGTGGAAGCAATGATATTCAAAGTTTGCATGAGGTTGGATTATATTATATCGTCCTGCAATTTCTGGGAAAAATAACAAGCCACGTGTCATCCTTTAAATCCAACGTGTAAACCAGTAAACCCAAAAAAAATAAAACAATAGAAAAAAGAGCAGTAATTGCACATGGTGCGGCCTAGAAAACCCAACCACGTGTCCTGATCAGAAGGGGGTGAGAGCACCAATCAAGACGAAAGTTGTTTGACTTTTATGAAATTAAAGCAGCGGTCGTCGATCAAAACGCATTCAAACACTGGACTAAACGACAAACCCAATCGTATCCCTCGTCCGACAGTGTGCCTAAGAACGCCCAAATTCCGACACGTGGAACGGATTAGCCTCCGTGTCTGTAATTAGAAACTTGAACAACAAGTCATGGCCTACTCAGATTAATCCCGTACTTTCCACTAATTAAACTCGATTAAACATCTATTTTATATAAAACCTGTTATTGGCACTCAAGAGATTTTATTTTACACTAGGCTCCACATGTGTTTTCTTTAACAATCGATATTATTTACAAAAATAGATAAGAAAGTGAACAAGCTTTACAATAGACGAGTCATTATGTTATTCATATTCATATTTGGTATTTTACTTACAAATAAAAAGAAGTACAATTAAACAGTAATAACGTCACTTTTTATAAAAAGTTTGAAGTATAAAAAATTTTGAAAGTTGCAATAATTTTATTTATTTATTTATCACTTTCTCTCTCTCTCCTGAAAAATCGGTGAGCAAAGACTTTTCCTTAAACTCTCTCTCTCCCCTCTCTCTCTCTAGAATCTCAATCTCGTTGTGTTCTTTAGCAGTCTTATAAAACCCTGCAACTTTGTTCTTGTTCTGGTTTCTATTTAGCTGAAATCTCAATAGGGCTTTTTCAAACGGTGGTCAGTCAGCTGAGAAACCGGCTGAAAATTTTGGGTTTGGTCAAGTTTTGAGACCTGGATCGAATTTTGACTCTTGTAAAATTTGGGTTTTTTTTTCTTCTTCGTCCATAGAAATCTCTGAGCTGGGCGAGAAACTTTTATTTTACAGTCTGGGGTTTCTAAATGATTGTGTTTTCTGGGGTAATGTAAGCTTTGGTCAGAGATCCATCACGACAGAGCTGGTAGGTGGGCATAGGAAAACAAGAGGGGACGCTGACTGGTAGACGAGAGAGAGATGAAATCAAAGCCCTAGAAAATGAACAATTTGTATCTAAATTCAGTTCCTTAGAGTTCCTATCCAAGTGTTAGATTTTTGCTTTTTGTCCTGTAGATTGAAATTAAAAAAAAAAAAAAGAAAAGAAAGAGAGAGAAATCAAAATCTCAGCTCTGATGCCGACCGACCTAGATAATTCCCCTACAGCTTCAGGTGAAGCTAGCGTTTCCTCCTCCGGCAACCAAACCGCTCCGCCCAAACCCGCCACCAAGAAAAAAAGAAACTTGCCAGGAATGCCAGGTAGCTCAAAAAACAAAATACCATTTTTTTTTTCTTCAAATTTTTCTTAACTTTGTTCGGATTACTGATTGGATTTCTGGGTTAATTTGACTTTTGGGTTTTGTTGCAGATCCAGATGCAGAAGTGATTGCTCTGTCGCCGAAGACCCTTTTGGCGACGAACCGATTCGTCTGCGAAATTTGCAGCAAAGGGTTTCAGAGGGATCAGAATCTGCAGCTTCATCGGCGGGGCCATAATCTGCCGTGGAAACTGCGGCAGAGGTCGAGCAAAGAGGTGAAGAAGCGAGTCTACGTCTGCCCGGAGGCCTCCTGTGTGCACCACGATCCGTCTAGAGCTTTGGGTGATCTTACTGGAATCAAAAAGCACTTTTGTAGAAAGCACGGTGAGAAGAAGTGGAAATGCGATAAGTGCTCAAAGAAGTATGCGGTTCAGTCGGATTGGAAGGCTCATTCCAAGATTTGTGGCACCCGAGAGTACAAATGTGATTGTGGGACTTTGTTCTCAAGGTTTGCTAATTAATAAATTTTCGATTTTGTCTTAGGATTTTATGTTTTTTTTGGATTAAATTGTTAGGTTTTTGGATTTGTTGTTATAGTTGTCTTTTTTGTGTTTAAAGGAGGGATAGCTTCATCACTCACAGGGCTTTTTGTGATGCTTTGGCTGAGGAGAGCGCAAGAGCCCCCACCACCACCAGCGCCACCGCCACCACCGCCGCCGCCGCCGCAGCAGTGAATTTGAATTCAGAGTCGGACCCAAGAGCTCAATCTGTTAATTCACCTCCACAACCACTGCCGTCACCGCCTCTGCCGGCCGCAGCTCCACCCCAGCCTACAACTTCATCAGTTCCGTCCCAGTCAGCTGGTGTGTTATCTTCATCCCCGCCTACACAAAGTCCAGGTAACACATGTCCCAAATTGGAAAATTTTCAATCTTTTCAGTTGGGTTTTGTCGGATGTGTTTTCAGCCTGAAAACAAACAACAAAATCTATGTTGTTTTTAATTGTCGTTGTTTTATTATGTTGTGTGTCTCTTGCTATGGATCTTGGAGTTTAGTATTTTTTTGTCGGTTATGAAATTTGTTTTCAGCTGGGTTTGTAATATATTACTGTATTGGTAAATTTATCAAAGATTTGAGGGGATTTAACAAATTAATTAAAAATTAAGCTTCCTGGAGATTTTGTATTAAACTTTAGTGATTCAAAAGCTGAAAGGGGAAGAGGAAGTGGGTTTAGAGAAAGGACACCATTATTGATCCTCCTTTTTCTTCAAAAGTTCTTTCATATAGAAAGGTCTTAACTTTCTATGCCTGCATTTTTAACTTTTAAATGACCCCTTTAATTTACATCCTTTTGTCCTTTTGTTGTTGTAGTGAGAGAGTTGCCAGAAAATCCCACTCAAGTTGTAGAAGCAGTGCCTGCTGTGGCGGGTAGAAAGGGGAATTGTAGCAGCAGCAGCAGCAGCAACAGCTCAAGCAGCAATGGCAGTACAAGCAGTGGTGTGTTCGCAAGTTTATTCGCTTCCTCAACAACATCGGCGAGCTTGCAACCTCCTCAACAGCCTGCATTTACTGACTTAATTCGAGCCATGGGGCATCCAGATCAATCAACCAACCTAGCTCCATCTTCTTCAATGGAGCCCATTTCTCTTGGCCTCTCAACCAGCCATGGATCGTCAATTTTCGAGTCTGCAGGGCAGGAGCGTAGGCAGTATGCGCCTCCACCACAACCAGCTATGTCTGCGACAGCACTGCTTCAGAAGGCTGCTCAAATGGGCGCAGCAGCAACCAATGCATCGTTGCTTCGTGGGTTTGGCATTATGTCATCCTCAACGTCTTCCACGCAACAAGAGAGTATGCAATGGAATCAAAGGCCAGCAGAACCAGATAATGTCTCAGTTGCTGCAGGGCTTGGACTTGGTCTTCCTTGTGATGGAGGTTCGGGATGGAAGGAACTAATGATGGGAAGTCCTCCAGTGTTCGGTCCAAAGCAAACCACACTCGATCTTTTGGGATTGGGAATGGCCGCCGGTAATAACCCCAGTAGTGGCCTATCAGCCCTAATCACATCAATTGGTGGCGGTCTAGATGTAGCTGCTGCAGCTGCATCCTATGGAGGTGGAGAATATAGCGGTAAGGACTTGGCAAGAAGCTCATGAAACTGGACAACTAAAGAAGTCATTTTCTTTCATTTGACTTGAGGAAGGGGTATATAAGGTGCAGGTTGATCTCGTACATGGAAAACGAGGGCGAAAACGACCTTGTCTTGCCGGTGTAGACTTTGTCGCAAGCTAAGTCCGAAGATTGTTTCAGGTTTCGTCCGGCTTCTGTTTAAATGGGGGTTTTAGCATAGGCTTCTATGTACGTATGTCACTTTCTGTAAGCTTGAGGTGGATTTGGTGAATCAGTATGTGTACCTACTACTGCATACGTTCTGTAATTTTGTCAAGTTTGTATAGCTAAGCCTGGTGATGAAAGGCTAAGTGGATGGATCCTACCAATTTGGGTTTACAGCACTAGGCCAGGTAGAGGTAGATGGGATGGGGGACATTGTAAATTACTGTTTGATTACCCTGTTTTTTAGGTTTTCTAGACTTGGTCAAACTTCCAATTTCCTCCACTTTGTAGTTCGTATGTACAATTAAATTAAATTATTATATTTGTTGTATATTTAATTAATTTTCTTTTGGTTGGCATGTTGGTTTCTGTTGGTGAAAGATGTTGGACGGTAGAATTTCACATTGGGCGTATGACAATGATATACAATTAATATATGTGAGTTTTCGTTTTTTAATATTACCGAGATTTTCTGTAATAAAAGTCAACACGTAGTAATAGGTGGTTAAGTTGAAACAATGTTTGTGATGCTGGTGGTGCGTCACGCTGGGTTCTAAAGTTTATCACGAGAAGTTACAATAATTCATGGTATGAGATGTTACGCTGACAATGACAACATACTTTGTAAGTTGTTCTCGTTCAACAGTGTCATCATGCTTTGTAAGCTCTCGTTAGCGCACAGCAGGATGAGATTTGGGATTTTAATGACTTGGAGAAATTACAAGAAATTTGTGCCAGTGTGCAGTTTTACATAATTGATTGAACGCGGCTAACATGGTCCCCAAAGACAAAAATTGAATAGCGTCTTTAATGTCTTGAAATGGTCCTGTGTTGTGCAGTGTATATAGTAGGATCCTTACCTATTTCATATTAAATTCAAGTTCAATTCATAGGTGTAATCCAATAAATATTTTCAATTCTTTATCTCGAGAGATTCTACTGTATTTCTGTTGGACCTTTGAATCCTAAAATTTATCCTTATGTCGCAACAGAATCTCAGTTTCACTTGTAAATCATATGAAACAGAGTATTGCTATTTCGATTGACATTCCTCAAATATTTCACTCGACTTTAGAACATAAAATCAGTCACTTTTTTCTTCAATGTTTATAAAGTTTTTCAATCAGCAACACCAAAGGCATTGGGTTGATCTTCAAATTTCTCATTCTACACTCCTCACAAGTGTATAAAATCAAATTTGAACACGTAAATAAATAAATATATTTTGTTGGGGAGAGAGTCAATATCTTGATGTTTGAATAGAAGTTGATCGCGACTGTCCAAACTCCGATGTCATCCTCCTCCTGCATTTCTCCTTAATTAGCAAATACAAGAATTTAAAATTTTGAATTGTTTTAGAGAGAATGGGGTAATAATAAATATTTTCTTATTAAAATAAAATTAAAAAGAGGAACAAGAAGATTTATTGATATATAAATTCTACCTTGAACTACCAATACTTTATGTTGATACCATACCTATAATTTGTCAACCACATCTTTTGCCTGCAATGCAAGGAAAAGATCACTAAAATATTTAAAACAAAAAATAAAGAAATATAGATTTGGATGGATTAAAATATGTATAATCTAGGTTGTCAACCATTGCCTGCTTTACTAAATATACACAATATTCTGACCTTTTCTTCTTTTAGATTTTTTTTTTAATTAAAAAGTTGTCTTTAGAATGTTGTTAAGAGCACTCTAAAAAAAAAAAAAAAAAATCATTTCTTACTGATTTAGTGCATGAAGAAAAAATAATGAATTTTTTCAGTGCTAATAACCGTGTTGTGGAATATATATTAGCTCAATATAGTTTCGAGTGTGAACAAGACATGCTTTGATTTGAAGAAATGTTTGATGTAATTCTAATTTTACTCTTTATTTATAAGATTGGGTTGAAAGGTCCAACAAAATCTTATTTACACATGCTCACTCTTATGTTTTCTTTTCTTTTGGACACACCTTCTCCTTTCCCTGTTTTTAGGGTGGATGTGGTCACATGAAATGTATGAGAGCAAATTTCTGTCTTGGATTGAATTGATGAAAACATGCACACACAAAGAAAAGAGAGAAAACGAAGTTAGACTAATACCAGTGAATCGACAGTGACTTCTGTAAGGAATAGGAAATGGTCAACTCATCGTGAAATTCGGAGTGAAATGGTGGTTTCACCTACTTGTGATAATTCTCCGCCTGGTAAGAAGCATAAGGCAGATGATGTGTAATTCAAGAATCGAAGTGACACGACTTGGTCGTAGCCGGTTTGGAATCAACTTTGACTGGGTGGGTGTATGGTGTGGGCGATAGAGTGAGGTGTTGAGCTCAATGGTGGAGATATTAGCGATTTGAGTGCCAAGAACAGATGTTGTGCCCACCCCCCCAGAAAAGATTGAGGAGGAGTAGGGTGGGATTGTAGTGATAGTAAAAATATGCAAGCAAAGATTTTTCAATTTGTAGTGTTTTTTTTTTATAATTTTTTATGATTTTAAACTTTTTGATGGGCCAAATGCTTGCTACATCATCGTCTTTAACAGAAAATTTTTAACGCTAGACTAAAGCCATCTCCAACCCTTAGCCTAAAAACCTAAAACTTTTAGCCCAGAAAATTTAGGTTTTAATCCAGAAACAGCTTTTCTGCTCCAACTTTTATGGCCTAAAATTTTAGCCCCAGATTATTAAAGAATGAATTTAGGCCTTTTTTTGTTTTTAAATTAACTTAAAAAAAATTATGTAGACTATCCTAAATTAATTTTATGAACATTTTAACCTAAAAATATTTAAATTCCGATAAACATTGAAAACTCACTAAACCGACACATGAATGTAATACCCTGAAAATTTAAACATATGAATTAGATATTCATAATTATGAATATGCGGAGGAAATCGAAAATAAATCGATTTATGGTTATGAAAATAGAATTGGGAAGTTTGAAGTTCGGAAATTTATTATTTAAAATCCGTAGACTTTTTGAGGTCACAATTTATATTTTTGAATAGAGCTCAACCTCACAAATGCGTAGGCGCAAACCGTTCGTGAAACAGAGTTATAACAAAGAAGTTATTAACGTTTGAACTTAGGGACATTTTTGTAATTTTGGCTTTCAATTTTAGAAGGTTCTAGTTTTTCTAGAGTAGGGATGGCTGTGATGAAGCCATGTGTATGGCTGCGATGGGAAACAAAGAAGAAAAAGGAGAGATAGAAGAGGGATCAGACGGAAGGAGGGAAAGGGAGAAAAGAAAAAAAAAAAAAGGGGGGGGGGGAACGAGAGTTCATCCCGATTCGATTCGTGACAGCAACCCGGTGCCAAATTGCCGCTTTCCATGACGGAAATTCCGCCATCCCTCACTTGGAAATACCTACCTAACATCTCCTCTACCATTTTCACCCAAAATTAGGAAAAGTTTAGTTGAAATTTGGTGGAAAACCCACTATGGGTGCCGCGGGTATCCTTGGCCGAACTCCATCAATTGTGAAATGTTTTCCTCCAATTACCACCATGACTAGATTTCCCTTGAGGCCTAGAACAAAGCCCAAACAACTGTAGGGGCGGCGGAGTACCGGAGGTGACGATTCGAGGCCACCCATTTATAGGGTTTCTGGTGGGTACGAGGCAAATTGGAGCCTTTCCCAGACAAATTGGACTTGGTCGCAGGTATAAAGTTTTCTCTACTCTTTGAGATCTTTATTTCTGTAATTTTTGAGAGTTTTTAGAAATAATTGAATTTTCCGGCAAGTTGGGCGGCCGACCGCCACCCACGGGAGTGGGTGCGGGTGCGGCGGCGCACGGCCAGAGAGACAACATTGTGTTTTTATGCGAATTTCGTTATTCTAATTATATTTTTGAGATCTAACTACTGTGAGTTGAATACTAATATGTTTGTGGTATATGTTGGATTAAATGAAAATACTCGGATTTGGGTTGAATTTTGGAAATGTGAACTACGAATGGCTTGATCCCTATTTAACGTACGTAGGTAGTCTAACGAGATGTTAGATGCAACCATAAAATATGTGAAGTTAAATAAATTAGAATTTAGATTACAAAATGGGAATAGGTCCATAAAAGGAATTGGTGATAAAATATGAAAAATAATATCATACATTTGGTAAGGAGTTATAATTATGGATCATGGGTGGAATTAAGGCTTGTAAATAATGAATCAAATTTATAGTAGTCAAACAATCGGGTTTAGACCTCTTGTTGGGAATTTATTATGAGAAAAGGAAATAGCAGGTATATGGAAGAGAAGAAATGGAAATCAATTGAAAGTGTGATGGCATGTGTTGTTAAGTCAATGATGATTATTGAGCATATGTGGAATCAAGGCTTTGATATAAGGATTAGTGGTGAATGGTAGTGAATTAGATAAATATTTTAATTTGATCTTCCATAAAATAAGTGAGATTGAATAATCGAGATAAAATCCTTGTTTGAGAGATTGATCTAAGTAAGGAATACTGAAAAATAAGAGTTTACCCTTATGTTTTGGTGAGTAAATTTTTGGGCATAAATAGTTGTGTGGCATCATGAAACTTAAGTAGAGATTTGTAATTGTAGATAGTTAAAAGAAAAAAAAAGTTAATTTGGGCCTATCAACAAAATTAATACCTGAAAATAAATATTTCGAGGGCATGTCGTTACAATGAAACTCATGAAACATTATAGAAGAATATGAAACACATGATAGAGATGTATAAACACAAGACACATGAGCAAACACATGGTTTTGGAAGATGGTAGAAAGAAAAATTGGAGGAATTGTAGGAGAAAAGTGAGTTTTGTGTACATGTTTCAACAAATATATAGGTATTTATAGAGTTTTTGGGTGACTTTTGAGTTAAATAATTTTTAATAATTATTTTAACCGTTAGATTTTTTTTTTTGAACAGTTAGATTTGATCATATTCAATCTTAGTCGTCGGATTCAATAAATTTATAAATATAAAACAAAAATATTAACTAAATTAAATGTGAACCGTTGGATAACCAACAACCCATTTGAATATGAGCCGTTGATTAACCAAAAGACCCGTTGGGCTCAATTTTAATGGCAGACAAGTGAGAGACACACCCATGTGAGTGAGGGCTCCACCACTAATCTTGGCCTAAATCTAGCTTTTTTTAGGTTTTAGGTCCAATTAGAACTTGGGTTGGAATGGATTAAGGGAATAGAAGGGGAATTATAGGTTTTAGGTCATGGATTGGAGTTGGCCTAAGAGAAATATGATTTTGGGAGAAAAATGAGACAAGAGAAAATTAAAGATAACATAAGGTTAATAAAGTGAGAATAACATGTAAAATTTGACATTACACGCCTGCTAGCTTGGCTTCTAACCCACAACTCTTTCCCTCTCCTTCTCTCCCCCTCTCCCCTTCTCCCTCTGCCTCCCTCCCTCCCTCCCCCTGAATTCTCCTAAAGCATAACACCAACATACAACCCAAAGACACAAATTTGTGGATAACGAAGCTCCAAGGATACAATCCAAATTGACCAAAATAACACCTTCAAAGCTTCATCTATCAACTTCTCTTCTTGGTCGGATTCAGTTCCAGCATTGGTTTTGCCTAGCTCGAAAAGGGTGCCTTTTTCTGGTTATCCTGTCAACTGCTTTTACATTCCATAGCAACAATGTTCGCATGCTTCAAAGTTTGAATTTTCGATTGGTTTTGATATAGGTACCTTGTGTTATTGCTCAGAAATCAATTTTTGAGATAATATTGTTTGGTGGTAACTTAATTTGTAGAAGTGATTTGGAAAAATTGCATAATTCTGGTAAAATAATAAAATTTAAGTGAATATTTAAGCATTGTTATTGTGCATGTAGCTAAAAGCTCACATCTTTTGTGATGAAATTCAAATTTTTGTTACCGTTTTTTCAGGTTTAAGAGCCATACGCCTCGGCCCGGAAGTTGAACAGTCTTAGAAGCATTAGGTTTTAGGTTACTGTGGTAAATTAGATGTTCTGTGACTGTCAGTGATGAGACATTATCTTCGATACCAAAATTTGGGTCCGGTTTACTTTGGGAGGGTAATTGAATCAAGGGTGTTTTACATAAGGAGCTAAAATGTGGTCCGGGATACTTCCCAAGGTGAACCCTACTGTATGTTCTAGTATTTAGAAAGTGAGAAGCGGGAGCGGGTTAGGACATTTAAAAACTTTACTACCTTGTCGTGGGAAATTGTTGTCACGGAGTTCAGGGTTGTCGTGGGAAAATCTATGGCTGCTTCAAGTTTGACACTTGTCTTTGGAGACGTTTATGTTGATGGATTAATTTCAAGTTACGAGTGTTCGAGCAAAGGAAGATTTATCTGGAGAATGTTCCTGGGACCTTAGCACAGCTCCCTAAGGGATTGTCACTTTGGATGTGTAGTCAAGCTCTTACTTGCTGATATGCTACAAGAAGAAGACAAAGTCAGTTCTGAAAGGTGCTTACACCTAAGGCCCTGAGGCTCGCAATCAAAACTAACTTAGTGCTAGGCGTGCCACTGCTATCTCAGTATAGTATATGTAGAACAAGTGTGTTTTAAATTGATTACTTGCGCCCCGAGTTACTTTAAACTTCTTGTTATCAAAGGATTGTCTTGGATGGGTTAAGTCCACATTAAGTTCTTTTTCTTGCCTTGTAAACAAGGACTTTTAGTTCATGGTCTTGATGTTTGAATGAAGGGAGTCCAGAACCCCTTAAGTCATTTGTTTGATTTCAAATCACAATTAATGAAAACATATTGATCAAGTTAACCAGATCCAGATGCAAATGGACTTCTTAAAATAGAAAAACAGGTGAAAATAACTTGAATACATACTGGAGAATGCATTAAGTAATAAATCTACTAATTTAGAAAACAAACAAAGAGCTTTGAGCAAGATTTTACCTTGCCTGGTAAGGTTGAACTTCTTGCAGTCACTTCTCTTTGAATTTACAGGGGTTGTATGCTAAAAAGGGATGGATGGTAAACAAGTTTACACAAGGAAATCGATACTACACCACTAAGAGAGGTAGCAGAGCTTTTAAACTAGACAAAAATGTCTTTTGTAGGGAACTATCCTTAAAAGGACTGAATCTGGGCTGATTTCAGCTTTGGATTCAAATCTGGCTTAAAAGCAGAGTTTGTATATTTGTTTGATTGGTTGATTGTCTTTGTCTCTGGGGTCTCTACTTCATTTTATAGACAAATTAGCTCGACTGCTGTAACTTTTGCTCTTGCCCGAAAGCACTTGGAGGATAATGAGTCATCAACTTTTTTACTTGTAATGCCACTTAAAAAGTGTTGTTTGGCTGGTAGTAAGTTAGTCTTCATCACTTGTCACTTTAATTATAGACATGTGGCTTGTGTCCCTTGGCTGAGAAGGCCTTAACTTGTTTTTGGGCTTAATGCTAGGCTTTGGGCAAGTCCCCCTTTAATTGGCATCTTTGGGCTTTCTCTCATTCAAGCCCAATGTTTAAATATTAACCAAAACAAATTCAACAGTCGTCTGATTTCTGTGCATGTTGGGCCTTGGTTGAGGGATATCCAGACCTCATCTTCCTTATGCAACGCTACTGGTGCTGCTCATAATTTGACATTTGATGGCAACTCTAATGATGAACAACCAGCAAACTCTACCATTTTGTCTGACCAGTATGTGCTCTATCTGTTGTTTACTTTGCGTATTTCGTTGTTTAGCCATTTACTCAGTACTCATAGATTTCTTTTTTTGTTTAGAATGGAATTAAGGGTTATCTTCTGTGCACGCTTACTTGTTAATTGATGTATGTAAAACAATATGAATAGAAAACGCAATTGATTGGTGTTTACTTAATTTGAGTTGGGGTTATAGCACTGTCTCAAACCAATGTAGGCAATTTATGTCCTCAGCGCTATGTATTAGATTGGAAGACACTTTCGCAAGTCACATCTATAAGATTTACAGAACAGTATATTCCTTGGTTTCATTTCAGATTCAGACCAAAAGCTCTGATGCTACCTTCAGGATCATGTTACCTGCCACATCCTGATAAGGAGGCGACAGGAGGAGAGGATGCCCATTTCATTTGTGAAGATGCACAAGCAATTGGTGTAGCAGATGGTGTGGGTGGATGGGCAGATGTTGGTGTCAATGCTGGATTCTTTTCATGTGAACTTATGTCTCATTCTGTAAGGGCAATTCAAGAGGAACCTGAGGGCTGCTTTAACCCCGTCAGGGTGTTAAAGAAGGCGCACTCATGCACCAAATCAAAGGGTTCCTCAACAGCTTGCATTATTGGCCTTAAGGAAAAGGTTTGTTTTTTCATTTTGACTAACCTTTCCTGCAGACCTCTATAATTTGTCGGGATGCTTTTCCAATTTTGACCATGTTATGAAAGATGTGATCTGGTTTGTGGAGACAATCATGTGTGGCTGCATTATACTGCTGACATATATGGACATAGATGATATTGGCGTTTAGTATATATCCGTTACTATACGCAAATCAGGGTTCGAAATACGTCGAGGAAGAACATAAATACTTTCTTTAATTGTAATACGCTACAGAACGATTCAAGAGTCTTGTTACAGTCATAGATCATACCTCAAAACAACAGATAGATGAACATACCTTAGGATTCTCGAGTACTTTCTTGATAATTGTTTGCCTGTGGCTGGTTTAGCAGTTCTACAGGGTTTGGCCGGTTTGCCTCCAGCATTTTGCAATTCTGTTGCAAGTGCAGCCCTCTATAATTGAATGCGGTTCATAATTGTATTTATGGATAATCTTCCGGAAGTAGTGGGCTGCAGTCTTCCATATACATAGTAATTGCTGATTGCAAGCTTTACTTATATATCAGTGGTACTCTATACATGCATCGGAGTGTGATAGAGATAAAGAAAATAGGCTGCAGATGCCCAGCTCTAGTGATACGAACTTGGACAGGATGCATGATTGAAGTTTCTAGTATATGACGGCAAGAGCTGGCTTGGTACCACAGGTAACTGCTCAGAAGATAGCAGTTCTGGCATGCCAGCAAGCACTGGATAAGAACAGGCAGTCACCATTTCAACAGGCTGCTCAAGATGCTGGTTTCCGTTATTATGGAGGCAAGCTTGATGGCATTACCGTTGTTATGTCATATATAACTGGCTCTACTAAGGTGTGAGTGAGTCTTGTGATCGGGTGTAGAGAACCCATTTCGGTTGTAAATCTTTTTTTTTTTTGGGGTAAGGTGGCTGGTGGAGCTTAGAAGCTCATTACTCTGTTTTTCCATGAAACCCAGAGAGTGCTGTAATCCCATTGGTTTTTATCTAGCGCTATTTGAGATATGATTTTCACTAATGTCAAACAAAATGCACGTTCTTCCCCTCAATTCTTGACTTCAAGTCTGAGCCACTTTTCACGTAAAAACAGTACCATTTTTGAAATCTTAAAGTGTGATTCAATTTTACATTTTGAAAGAACGATATTCTACTTTAAGAGGGTACTCTGCAGAGAGGGATCACATCCGTTCTAACCAATCTGTCTGCATTGACATCTGTGGGTGATTCAACGTATACAATTTAAACAAGTTGTGTTTCTTATAAACAAGTTAATAACTTATCTTCGTTTTTCTTCTGTAATTTGCAGCAAAATTTGTTTTGGATTTAGGCCATGGAAGTTTATTACATAAAAACATAGCAAAACTTCAAACATAAAAGCCAGCACAAGACATTATTCTATGAACAAAACATGCAGCAGACCAAAACTCAAGAGACAGAACAGCCGAGCTAACTGGAGAAACTAGATCTCAGTTAAATCTTCAAGACGCTCAGATATCTCCTTCCCTCCTCCACGTCGAAGCCTCCGCCTCCTCCCTCTTTCTCCTCTGTTTGTTCTCCTCTTCCTTGCCTTTCTTCTTGTTGTCTCTGAGCCTCTTCCCGCTCCCTCCGCCCGTCTTCCTCTCATCTTTTCCACTCCTCTTGTTGCCTCCTCTCCCTCTCTCTTTTATCCTGTTGTCTTCTTTCATCATCTCCTTGCCTGCCCTCATTTTCTTGTTGTCTACCCTCCTCTTCTCGCTCCCTTGCCGCTTCTCGTTCTTCTCTCTCCCTTGCCGCCTCTTGCTCTTCTTGTTCCTTTGCGGCTTGCTCTTCTTGCTGTTTTGCGGCTTGCACTTCTCGCTCCCTTGCGGCTTGCTCCTCTCTCTCCCTCGCTGCTTGCTCTTCTCTCTCTCTTGTGGCTTCCTCTTCTTCTCGTTTCCTTGCTTCCTCCTCCTCCCTCTTTCTCTCTTCCTCTTGTGTCTCTCTCTCCTCTTCCTCCCTCTTCTTAGCTTCCTCGTCCTCCCTCTTTCTCACTTGTTCCTCCTGCTCCCTCTTTCGAGCCTCCTCTTCCACCCTCTTCTTAGCGTCCTCTTCCTCCCTCTCCTTTTTAATCTCTTCCAACATCACTTTCTCCTCTTCTTCAGCACAAGAAGTACAATCTATTATAAACGACTCGGGCTGCACAGACAAAAGTTGATCAATCGTTGTGTTGGTAACATTAAACGATGCTGCCAAGACCTGTTTGTCCAAAGTCTGCAGAACCGAGTATTTTCCAGCCAAAAACTGAGGATTGTTTTTCTTTTCTGTCGTGCTGAACCCCATGAACACAAGAGAGTTGTTATTAAATGACATCTGAGCCATTGGATGGAACCTAGGCACAGCAAACACATCTCCTTCATGAACCCTAAACCGCATGTTTCTGCATTCCGATTTCTTCACTGCGGTGCTTGAACAAACCACCCTAACCATCCCTTGCCCTTGTAGTACTATTGCTATCTCAGTTGCCCTTGGATTCCAATGAGGTCCCATCATTGACCCCTTCAATTAAAAAAAAAAAACCACATTAATTAAAATTAAAATATTCATTAACTACACACTTCAATTTAACAACAGATCAAAGACAGACCTTTGTCAAATTCACCATGAAAAGACCAATGTTTGATCCCTTCAACAAGTTGGAGGTTTTTTTGTTCACAGTTAGGCTCCAACCGTTGCAATTCTCGAAATCTGGTTCCTCGTCGAAAATATTATACGTTGTTGTCTTCTTCTTACTGTTGAATGCAATGCCATCATTGCCTAGTAGAAACGTTTTCAGGAATCGAGCCTCCAAATCCCAGAAAGTTTCTTTCTTTGTTGGAATTGCATGCACAATGGCAGATTGGTCTGTTCCATTTACTATTGATTCTATCACTTCCTCTGAGACCTAATAATCAACCACCATTTTGCATGAAATTGAAAAAAAATTAAATTAAAATTTACAATTATTTCTGATGACACAGTGGGAACTTCCCATTGTTTGATTCTGGGTTGGAGTGGCTCATACCTTGAAAGCTGACCGAAGCAATTTTGGATTAAACCCTCGGACTATGTCCCTAATGCTGGAGTATGCCCCTACTGCTGGATCCTGCACACGTTTTGTCGACAGAAACAAGAAATTTTGACAAAAAATGGATGAAAATGTCCAAAAGAGTTATGGTAAACTATGAAAGTCAAGAAAAAGGATCAGAAATAGGTCTTCTTACATATAAGTCATCATCAGAGTTGCTTGCAAAGATTGCATTAATTCTTAGCTTCGGGCTCCCAGTCTCTAAGTTACTTTGTACAAAGAAAACAGTGCCTGGGTCGAGTCTATAGAGATCACCTCTCTTTATATCCACCCTTCTAATTTCATCATCATCAGTCCAACTCAACCTCCCACTCCCTAAAATCCAACAAAACAACAAAAACCCCAACTAAGATAAAAATAAAATGTAATTGAAATAACGATAAAAACTATTTGTACACACAAAATTGACATACTTGTTGATACACTCTCTAATAGAAATCGGTTATGTTATTATATGTGAGTCTGATCTATATTATAGTGTGTCACTTTTATGTGAACTTTGGGCGTACAAATAGCATTAGCCTTGAAACAAATATATAGGCTCAAAATTAAGGAAAATTTCCCTCCCCACTTAAGAATGAATTCAGATGCTGTCATTAGATTCAAAGTTGGACAACAAGCATTTTTAATCGTGAATTTCGACCATTTGTCGAGGTTTCAGGTATCCATAGTATGCATTTGTTAGACCGTGATTTGGACCATTCATCAATGTTTCAGATTTACATCCGACAGACAAACATTTTTCAAGATGGTGAATTACGGGAACGAAAATGAGATACCAGGTTTTAAACCATATATATATATATATATATATATATTGTGTAGACTATATGATATAGCATTCGATTCTTTCTTTGATGATTAAAAGAAGGAATCCAACCATCAATCACCACAGTCTGTCTCCGAATAACCATGTGATGGAATACATGTTACCTGTATTGACATAGAAAACCATGTCTGCATGGAGAAGCACCGGAAGGAAGAGTGAGTCCGGTTCCAAAGTGATGAACTGGATATGGTAAGGCCTCCTGTGTCCATCATTCACATCAACGGACCAGACCTCTCCATACTCAGTTGAAACCAGCGACCGCCGTTGATTTATATTCACCAGAGACCCAGCCGGAGAACCACCGCCACCGCCTGCATTTTTCAGTGCATTTGCTGCATGGAAAGACACAGCAACAGAAAACAGGAAGAAGAAGAAGATGTGAGCTTTTTTCAACATTTTTTTTATGGATTTGTATTGTAGTGATGGATTTGCATTGCAGTGAAGGGGGGTGTCTAAATAGAAGAAATTGGGTTCAGATAAACGAGAGAGTCGGCGTTTCAATCCGGAAAGAGAGAGAAGAACAAGTGCTAACGTTGTCTGTTTGCATGGGCACGTGGCTGTTGATCGAGGCCCGTGGCATGTGATCAGGTCTTTTGTCTGCCCGTGGAGACCATGCAGTTTTGAACACTGACTTTCGTAACCGAAATTTCGGGGGATTCAAACATATTTTTGATAGAAAATGGGAATTGGGTTGGAGTCGGAGGCCTTAATGGCCCATCATCCTTGAAGATCGAAGATAATTTTTTTTTTTAATTATTACATATAACATATTGATTTACACTGTATCATCTTCAATAATTTGGTGTTCAACTCATTATTTAAGAGATAAACTTAAACCTTCCACTTGTATATGAGAAAATTATCATTAAAGGTAATACTGATAGAGGAGAAACTGCAACATGGTAAAAGAAAATGAAATCAACTTGTGAAATTGGTATTTCCGGTGAGATTTTATTTGGTCCCAGGTTGTTTTATTTCTTTGGTTTTCCTATTTGAGAAATAAAGCAAATATAACTTGTTAAGGGTGGTTTAGGGAGTATATGATAAAATGTATTGCGGGAAAGTTGAACTGTGTTATAATTTGGTTTTGATAGGATGCAAGCTGGCACCATATTTAGTAAGTTACTGGAAATACATTGAGTGAAAGTTAGAGAGGTTCTAACAGGCTTGGTATATATTCAAGGATACGTATAATTACATTTTTTTTTCACATCTGCATTGATTTCATACTAGTAATCTCTTGAAGAAGAGTTTCACTATATTTTTGTTTTTCTATCGGAATGAATGAGGAAAGTTGAACTCGAAACTTGATTACAAATATGAATATTCGTAATTAACCAAAACCCTTGCAAAGAGTTTCACAAGTTCACAAGTTTATCATATATTTTTATTTTTATTCTTAAAAGCATTGCACATACATAAAAACTAAATGCTACCTAGAATTACAAAACAACTACTACATCTTCTGTAAGTTTAGACAGCAAGTAGGCTCTCCACACTGCTTAATAATTAAGGAATATCGGTCACTACCAGAAATTAACGTTTATCTGACGAACGGGAATTCGTCGGGCGACAAGACTTTATCGGACATAATATAAATGTTCGTTGGGCAAAAAAGGTCAACCTTTTGGTTTCTTCAGAGATTTTTGCTCGACGAATGTCGTTGGCCAAGAGTCCTTTGTTGTGTGAAGTTTACGTGCAAAGGGAAAAATTTGACGCATGATATGGCATATTTTGCGTGACGAATAATTCCGGATTCGTCGCGCAAAAGTTTAATTTATGTTTTAGGGTTTAATGTTTACATTTCATAGGGCAATATATGTTATTTTATCAGGCAAAGGTAGGGGATATTTCGTCCTATCCAATTCCTTCAATTAGTTTTGCAGTCTGCAAAATTAGTTTCAATAATCCAACCATCAAACTTGTTTGTATTTGTGATACCCTGTCCTAAATTTGTCATATTCTTATATTATCGAGCGTATGAAATTACCAAATTGCCCTTGTAGCATGAACGTTGACTTTCGTTGACTGTCTCGACGTAACGCTTGTGACTAATCTTTTTGATTTATTCTTATCGTACTGATTGTCATAAACTCGTAGGCGTGAACGTATTCAAAATTGGAGTTATAACGAAGATTTTATGATTCGAAACGTCGAACAGTTTTTCGGATATTTTCGTATTTCGTCTTTAGTGACCTTGTTTTGTGAGCCACTAGGGCCCACATGTTTTCTCCTTTTTTTTTACCCTGTGACCCCCTCTTCTCTCTTCCCTCTATTATTTTCTGAAAACCTCTCTCTCTGTCTCACAAATTTTGAAAGCTGAAAGCCTCTCCCTCACTCTCGGCCCTCTCATTCCTCTCTCAAAAACCAACCCTCCTAGAGGGCTTTCACTCAAACAACAACCTAGACTACACCACAACCTTCTCTCATAGTCCCTACGAGTTCTTGAACCAAGAAAATAAAAGGAAAAACCATTCGAAAACTCACCACCGAGCTGCACTATTCAAGGAACTTCTCCAGCGATTTCTCACCATTTTCGACGAAGGTAAGCCTTGAAATTGGTCCTTATCATTGTAGGTCGTATCTAAGTTCACGAATAGTAAGTTTTTGGCTGGTTTTGGTGGTGTAGGAACACGAAAAAGGCTCAAGGAAAGTCATAGTGCAAATTTGGAAATTTCCAGGCTATGGTCGTTTGGCCATCTTTCAGGCAATTTTCCTGCCAACTCTACCCACCACTCAGGTCCCCATTGGTATGTCTCTTTTCCACATTCCTAACTACATTTTGGCTTTGAATCACTCGATTTGGTTGAGTATTGAAGAAGTTATGAACATTTAAAGTTTACCCAATTTCCTCGAGTTTCTAGTTTTCTCGCGGATCAGTCACTTTTTAGGCCATTTTCTGACCATCTCTGACAACCATTGGGCTTTCAAATAGGTACAATCTTGTTCTACACTTTCCTAGCTTTGTTTTGATATATTATGGATTGAATTTGTTTAAGAAACGAAGAAGTTACGAAGCTTTGAAAATTGTCCAAACTTCGGCTTGGCTCAGCTGAGTTAGTCATTAACTTCTAGTCAATGTTGACTGGTACGGTCAACGTACTGGACAACATTGACTTTTGGGTTGCCTTTTTTGGGTTTCAGGCCTGGACCCCTCCTAGACTAATTTCGACGTCCTGAATTTGATTTCGATGTCTGCTTTCCCAAATTCAATCGTTTGAGTAGAGTTTTATTAATTGGTTCCTTTATGTGCTTGGGTGCGTTTGTTAGTGGTAGGTTTTTGTCCTCCCTAATTCGAACGGCTCTTCAATGATGGAGTATATGGGAATGAACCTCTTCCAAAATGCATTATTTTACTATTAGAAGTGCATACATGAAAAGCATGATGTCATGGTTACGTTTTATGAGTTTATGAGTGAATTGGATTTACACTTATTGATATTTCATGCGTTACTGGATTTACTTTCATTGAGATATTTATGAACATGATTTATGATATAATGTTTGAGCTATTGAGCTCCGATGAGATATATTTTGGAAAGATTATGTTCAATGATTTTTGTGCTTATCTAGTGGTCACTATATACCTACGGGCAAATGATATCTATATATGGCTTCGGTCGGGTGTTGTAGGGGCCTACGGGCGATTGAAAATTATATATGGCTTCGGTCGAGTGTTGTAGGGGCCTACGGGCGAATGAAGTGTTTTATATGCCTCCAGGCGAATGAAGAGTTCTATATACCTTTGGGCGATACTGATACCACTACTAAGCACATTATATATGACATATGTTTTATGAAGTTTTATGGCATGCTAGGGTTTTTGGAAAACCTATTAGATATTATACTATTGAGTTTTTATAAACTTTGGGGGTTAGTACGTTGATGAATAACTGTTTTAGTATTACATATATATAAACTTGGTCCACTCATGTTTTATTTTACGCCCCCTTAGGACTTAGAATCAAGGCATACAATCTCGGCGTCAAGGCATTCCCACATCGGTATCTTTGAGTCCTCTCAGTGTATGACCCATTTCTTTGTAATCTTAATTAGTAGTATGCTCTAAACATGTCATGCATCATCACCATTATTTTGTTGGCAATTGAATATTATATATTATTTTGTAAATGTTGTATTTGAATATTATATTGTGTAGTTATGAGCGAAATTTTTATGTTTTACATGTTCTTAGCATATGCATTTATAAATGGCTTGTGTCACCCTTGGGTGTCGGCCAGCACGTGGCCATCCCATTGTCGTTCGGACACTAGGATTGGGGCGTGTCAGTATTACTTCAAAATCTCATACGCGAAAAATCACCAAAACAAACTTTCAAGGATTAGGTAACGGGACAAAATCCTTCGACAGTTAGAAACAAAAAATCACGATTTAACGGTGATTTTAGCTCCGATTTTGATGATTTTTTTTACAGCTACAGTCCTCAACCCTAGGAAAAATACAATGAACAAACCCGATCATAAATTTAATACATTCTACTTAATGGAGGTATAGGATAAACTCTAAGTGTTTATGATCGGGTCTATTCATTGTATTCTTCTAGGGTCGAGGAGGGTAGTTACTAAAAATCATCAAAATAAGAGCTAAATTAACCGTTAAATCATGATGATATGTTTTCAACCGTCGAAGAATTCATCTTGTTGCCTAATCCCGCATACTTTCGTTCGAATGATTTTTGGCATATGCCATCTTCAAGTGTATACAAACTACATTGACGGCTGGATTTTTTAAATTAACTTCACAAATTTCAAAAATTGTCAAAGGAATTTAATATGTGAAAATATCTCTCACCTTTGCCCGATGAAATAATACATTATGCCTGACGAAATATTAACCCTAAACCCTAAGTCACCAAGGAAAAGGAGAAGTGACCAACAAAGTATTTAATGAATTGGGGTTTAGCGGACGAACTTTTTAGTCCAGCCAAATTTACTTAGCCTACAAACTATCTCCGTCGGATAAAATGTGTCAGAATACATGCCAATTTTGTTTCCTAGGGTGCAAAATGTTGCCCAACAAAGGTTTAGTGAACATACCCTTAAATAGAATATAGTTGTATAAAAAAAACACAAAATTGAACAGTTCATGTTTTAGTAGGTGAGGTTTTTTTTTTTTTTTTTTTATTTTTAATCTTGGTTGTTATAACTATATAAGCTTGCAGTTGTATAATCAACTATTATCTGCTTTAATTTGCATCTTTGAGTTTGAGCTCCTTTTTTTGTCGCCCTTTTGATTGGTGTTCTAGCATCTTTGGTTGTAGTGTTGGAATTTAGTTAATGAAGTTTGTTTACTTTGATAAAAAAAAAATTAAAAAAAAATTGCTCATCAATCGAATTTTGATTGGATATGAAAGCATTTACTTTTTCAGAATTTAA